CAGGTTGAAAAAAGACACAAGTCCATCGAGTTCAACCTATAGAAGAAAGAAAAACCTAAAACAGAACCCTATGCCCACAGTTACCCACTGTTGATCCAGAGGAAGGAACGTTAGTGTCCTTCTGTAGTGACGTGCTTTTACTTATTTGCACAGTTAACAGGTTGAAACCAAAATCCCAGGCTGCAGTGTCAAAGGAAGTAGAGCAAAACCTTTTCATGTATACATTTGAAAGCCTTGTCTGTCCTGAAAAATGAGATGCATGCAATATAGGTTCAAACTAACCTATATGGTCCTCAAGTGGTTGAACAAAGAAATAAAAAATGAAAAGACCTGCCCTGCATCTAATTTTAAACATTGCCTTAGTTATGCTTTGTAAACAAATTAGATATCGAACTGAGAAAGATAAGACATTTTAGACTCTTTTTTTAAGGTCAAATAGAAATGATCCTGGGTATAATTGTTTTTTAATGGAGCTTAAGAAAATAAAAGCAATGAAAAACAACATTATGGATTTATCTTTATTTGGGGAATATGCTGTTTTTTTCTCAGAATGCAGAGCTCCAGAAGCTTGGTCTGTGATTGGGACCTGGGCAATGTCTGTCGATAAATATTAGCACAAATGTGATAAATATATGGGAGTACTTGAATAATCTTCTACTTCTCCAGTGCATTTTTGGTAGGCCCATGTTATTGTACACCCCAGCATTTTATTTTGTAACCTTTGCTGTGGGTAATTGAAGGCCTGTTAATAATACAGTCCTCATATTAAAGTGTAATGCACATGTTAACATTATAATCTGAAAGCAGGGAACATCACACAGCAATATGCTGTTTCTTTGTCTTTAAATTAGACTTTGTCAGACAGTGATATGGAAATTCTGTAGTGGTGCAGGAATAAATCCAGATGTCAAATGATACCTATGTTAGGCATAAATGTTCCTTGCATACAAAGTACAATGTAAACCCAGCATTACTCCTAGTGCACCTGCACTTGCATTATTATGTGGGCACTGAAGATTATGATAGAGGGATGGATAACATTTTATTGCAATGTATGATATAACATTTATTTTAAATAGCACTTTTGTAAACATTACTTATTTTTACTTTAATTTACCCAAACACTCCTTTTGTATCTGCAGTATATCACTAACACAGATTATGAGATATCAACTGCGGTAAATGAATATACCAAATCATTATTTTTTGGCCATGCAAAGGAAGCTATAACTGGAACATATGAAGGATCAGCTGACATTTTTGCCACAGTCCAAACAATGCCCCCTGTGACATTCTACAGCAATGCAAACAGTGACACAGGTAATGCGTAGCTCAAGTAGCTAAAACAAATCTTGTAATAGCATATTTTTTTAAGTCTAATTGCTCTTTTTTGTTATTGCTTCCTAAAAATGTTTTACAGCATATGGCAATGCCACCCACAAAGGTTGCACCATTTTGTCACACTGCTGACCTCCTGTATTAGAAAAAGTTGCACCCTATAGCTCCCAGGCAAGCTGCATAGACAATCAGTTATTACAGTTGCCACAGCAGGTGTGACTGTAAGGGATTAGCGTATCACCTACTGCAGCATACAGAACTTCAGCAGTGAAACATTTGACTAATGGCTCTTCAAGTGTCACTATTACAGTCAAGTAGGTCAAAGTGTTACAAGACCAGCGTGTGTGGAGGCAAACAGGTGCAGCTGACCTCTCTGACATGACAATACCACTATGACACTGCTACATCCAATAAAAGAGCTCTGTCTCCCTTGGAGAAATGCTCTTTATGTGTATACAAACATTGTTGGCTTGACAGATATATGTTTAAAAAAATATTGCAACAGTCTTAGGTGAAAAAAGGTGACACTTTACATGCCTCTTTTTGTGTTAAGAAACATTATGCTGGTCATAAACTTGGCAATTTTAGAAGCCTTCTATCAGCTTTGAATCGCATTTGCAACCCATGGGTTCCACCATTTCTGGATATTGAGAACATTTTGGTTTACATTAAAGATACCTCTTTACCAGCATTTGTTGATTAATTACCAATTTTCAATCATTTGGTCGTTCCATGCTCATGTTGGATTTTCCCAGATGATCATTTTTATTCCCATGTGATAAGGCTGGTGCCAGGGTTCTCTACACAGCACAGCAGGGGCGTAGCTAGAAATCCCAGGGCCCCATAGCAAAATTTTGTATGCCCCCCCCAACTATGTCGAAACACCCCCGCACCCACCCCACCAGTTTTGTCAACCCTGTGTCAATGTTCACACCAGGGCAGTTCAGTCTCGAATTTGTCCGCGCTGAACCGCCGACATAAACAATCCTATACATTCTTATGGGTACTGTTCATTCAATTGCGTGGCTCCACATGATCCGAACCACCTGCCGCACAAATGCTCCCTGAGCTACTTTTTTTTGCGCTGATCAGCACGATTTCCATATAGATTTCAATAGAAACGCACTGATCAGCACGTTTTTTAGCATTTTTTATTGCGCTTCAGCGCTGAGACGCGACTAAAAAAGCCCAAAAACGCTCTTTCAAAAATCGCGTGGAAACTACGGTGAAACGCTTCCGCCCTGGTGTGAATGGGGCCTGAATGAGGCCTAACACTTTACTTTAATACTGCCACACCAATGAAGGCTGCGGAAAGGGGGATTATAATTTGTAAGCCCACTTTCCCCAGGTTCACTGGTGTGGCAGTAATAATTTATGTTATAATTAAACTGCCACACCAAAGAAGGATCACACAGAGCAATATAATCCACTTTCACCAGTTAGTATGGTGTGGCAGTGCAAATATAACTTAACCCTTTCGCTCCAAGCCCCCTGGAACATTTTGCACCCTATCTGGCCACACCATTTTTGCAATTTTTCCCATTCATTTGATTTTCAACTGCTGTATTGCTATCGTTTGTAAAAGACCACCCAAACCATATATTTTCTGAAAGCACAGGCCCGGTAGAATAAAAAGATGATGCTACTAAATTTGCACACCTTGCAATAATTATGCAAATGTTTCTCAAATTAATATTAAACCGATAAAAATACACAATTGAATTGATAAAGCACACTAAAATCAGTATCAGTGCACAAAAAATTATTTTCTGACTAAATCTAAAAGATAAAACTGTATTGAGTTAATAAATAACAAATAGTGTGTGTGTGTGTGTGTGGGGGGGGGGGGGGGGTTGTGCTTTTTTTTAATTAGTTAATTTTTTTACACATTTTGTATTTATTTTGTAATTTATTTATTTTTTACTGTTGGGGCTACGGTTTAGACCCTTGACATTCCCCTTTTGAAATAAAAAAATAAATTGAGGACACAGAGTCCTCAATTTCTTTTTCTGCCACCTCAGCACTCAATGAATAGGAAGCACTCAGTACAGAGGCTTCCCATTCATTCATAAACTGTTGATAGTAAAATATTTACTTGCGGTGGCACCCGCAGTCATTACAGCACCCACCCGATGTTTTGGGTTGTATCCGGTCAGGAGTGCGATGGGATACTATGAAGTTTGTGCTCTAGGTAAAGCGCTGCATAGATTGTTAGGGCTAAATAAATACCTGTAATAATAATAATGTAGGGAGGTGAAGTGTGGGGTGGATGAGCTGGGTCAGCACAGAGAGTATTCACGCTCTCCAAGAAGAAGAGAGTGCTGTGATGTGCTAGAAGGGATGTGCTTGAGAATTGACTCTTCATGTAGTCGAATTTTCTATCAAGTTCAAAGGCACATTGCAAGTGAATAAAAAATTATTTATGGAAAGGAAAAACACTGCAAGTAAGCATTTAAAATGCAAAATTTCTGTCCTTTTCACTGCAATTTTTCAAGTTGGGGACAAAGTCTCTTTGATTTACAGATCTATACATCCCCCCTGTAGTGGCAATGCTTTTCAATGCACCTAACCACATGGTTTTAATGGGTCCACTATGCAGCAGAAACATGTGTTATGTGCATTGGTGTGCTGTTGTGCCATTTATTTTGAATGACACCCTGAAGCACCTCCACAACACACGTATGCTGCAATGTACTTCAGGGCACGACATAGCACAATGTCCTATTTGTTGTGTCATGAAAAAAATGCAACCTGCGCTATTTTTTTATATGTTGATGTGCTTTGCAGCTCATTCATCTTTATAGGGCTGCCTAACGCAGAGCTCTGAAATGTGTCTCTAAGTATCAAATGTGGTTTGGTGTTAATGGGCCTTTAGCAAAATCGGCTCCATTTTGTGTGCACTACTGCTAAGCAGGAAGGATGGCCTGCATATGTAATGGCCACCACGTATACATACATAATAATAAAGTATACATATATATATATATATATATATATATATATATATATATATATAATAATAATGGTACCTCGGTTCACAAACTTAATTGGTTCCATGATTCTGGTCGCGAACCGAATTGTTTGCGAACCAAATCAAATTTTCCCGTAAGGTTCAATGTAAATAAGGTTAATTCGTTCTGACCCCTAACGTGGTCGCAAACTGATTTTGGTCGTGAAACAGAACCAAATTTTCCCATAGGGTTCAATGTAAATGAGGTTAATCCGTTCTGAACCATATGTTAAAAAAATTTTAACCACAAAAATATGAAACAAAGTACAGTACAGTACAGTATGAAGAGAGTGAACACTAACCGTTCTTGGGGCGACTTCTGGCGTGGAGGACAGGAAGCTGGGGGGGAGGTTATTGTTTGGAGGGAGAGGCCCCCTCCTTCAGGGGTTTCCTCTCTTCTTTGTCTCTTAGCTGCAGGGTCAATTTTGGTGAAAAATCTGTCTGTCACTTGTTTTTTCCTGCGCTGCATAACCCACCGGAAATGAGAGACCACGTTGTCGTTCATCAGTTCACGACTCTTGTTCGTTACAGTTATGTTAGGTTGGTGCTCCTCAAAGTAATTCTGGCACTTATTCCATTTTTTCATAATGGATTTTATCAAATCACTGCAAACCTCCTCCCTGTTGCTCTTCCTCAGTGCCACATCAGCTCCTTTGATAGCATCTTTATTCTTCAAAATAGTCGAGATTGTGGACTTCAGCCACACGAATACCACGATCATACTTTTCTACAATTTCCTTCTTCAATTCAATGGTTCTGTACTTGCTCTGTACTTTCTTGTTACCTTCATTATTGTGCTGCACTTTCTTTTTACCACCATTCTTGCTCTGCACATACTGGTTACCTTCATTACCGCTCTGCACGTTCATTACCGCTCTGCACATTCTGGTTACCTTCATTACCACTCTGCACGTTCTTGTTACCTTCATTAATGCTCTGCACATTCTTGTCACCTTCACTACCACTCTGCAGTTTCTTTTTACCACCATGCTTGCTCTGCTCTTTCTTGGGAGCCATGCTGGATTGAATACTCTAACACTGCACAGTACTGTGCTATAAAGCACACAAAAAAGCTTCACAGCAAATGTGCACAGCTCTGTCTGTGACCGCGATCTCGATTACAGGAAGCCATGACCACGTGTCAGAGTGGGGAAGATGGCCGCGGTCGTGTTCATCACCCGATGCCGAGTTCGCAAACGGAGGCCAAATTTTCCCGAGCTTCCTGTTTGCGAACCGAATTGTTTGTGAACAGAAGCGTTCGTGAACCGAGTACCACTGCATACTGTGTGTGTGTATATATATATATATATATATATATATATATATATACACACACTTTTTAATGTTAATATAAGATAACATTATCTAGTTTATGCTTATCACAATCACAAATATATATATATAATACCTGAGAGGAAATTATAAGATGCTCGTCACCGAAAATGAGAATAATTTTTTTTATCGGAAAAGGGGGACTTTAATTACATTTACATAGGAAGTTGGGAAAATTACCTGGCATTGACTGCATAGTGTATGTGTCTATCAGTCTATCAGATGACTGTATGAACAGATTTCTCCATGATTTTAGAGACAAAGAACAAATTAAGAAAAACAATGATATTAGTAAAAACTAAATGTAATACAATACATACATGCACATTAAATCACATAACTGAAAGCCCAAAGTATTTAAAGTCTTGAACCCAGGAACAAAGCAGTGCTGTCCATATCTTGACTCTCTTGATGCTGTCATAATTATAATGCATTGCTGGTAATTATATCACTGACCAGATTTATTCAGTTTTATTTCAGCAATTGTATAATGTTCTCTTCGTTTCCAGTCCCATTCTATAAAGACAGTTCATAGGTAAAACATTTTTCACTACATTTTAAGCAGTTAAACAAATACAATGATGGATGAGGGAATTTTCTAAGTAGTTAAGCAAACATTAAACATTTATTAGAGGGTGTAGTACCAGAAAAGCAGAGAAATGTGTTTGAGCTATTAGTGGCAGTGTGGGCATGTGTGAGGCAGAAGCATACGGCTTTATTTACTCACCTGCTGACACTGAGCCCAAACAGAAATCACATTTATCACTGAGCATCATATTGTACAGCACCCAACAATATGCACATTGAAATTAGGTTTGTAATACTATTTCCTGAAAACAGAAGTATTCTGCTATGCCAAATGTTACAATACTCTAACAATTTAAAAAAATCGGATTCTGTCTAAAATGTTGCGGTAGCCCCTGGCATAAATGATCTTGTTGTGCCTTATTTAAAGTTTTACAGAGAAAACGTGCTATTTATATTACCAAAGGGTAAGTTAGTAAAGTGTAAGTTAGTAAAACTAACCTGCTTCAGCTAACTGCACATTTTTAGAGAATTCAATGAGACTTAAACCATAAGACCCGAGTCAGAAGGTTACTGCATCTTTTTGAGTTCTGAACTGTTGGCACATGATTTAACCCCTTCATGACTGAGCATAATAATAACCTTAGAGACTGATCCTGACTTTAGTCAGATTCAGATCTCACTAAAAGCTCTTTGATCGTGCTTAATTATTCATTAATTAATGCCTCAATACTGAAACATTAATGAATGCCTGTTAAATGCTGAGAATCAGCAAATACCGGCATTACAAAGCCTGATATAACTCTTCACGTACAGTGTACGTGGCCAGTCATATAGGCACAAAGTGACAAGACGTACACTGTACGTCTCCCGTCACGAAGTGGTTAATGATTTATTTGCGTATTTATTATTATATCATGTACAATTTTTTTTTTTTTTATTCCAGCATGTGTTATATGTTATAACGAACTGTCTTTACTGTCACTAGCTACTGAGAATGTGCAATATGGAATCAACATTGAGGCTGAACAGCTGTCGTACACTGTTGAGAAGCTTACACCGTTTACTGACTATACCATTAGTGTGTCTGCTTTTACAACCGTTGGAGAAGGACCACCAACAGATATAGTCATAAGGACAAGTGAGCAAGGTATTATTTAGTCTACAAGGTCTAGTAAAAATTGGTTAAATTGCGATTTGCCAAATATTAATATGACATTGTCATTCTTTGTTCTTAGTTCCGAGCTCAGTAAATAACATAAGTTATTATAACATAAGTTCAACATCAGTTATGGTGTACTGGGATCCACCTCTGGAGCCCAACGGGATGATAACCCACTATACGGTCTATGCAATGGATCTATACACAAGAGAGGCCTTTCATGTGATAACCAGCAACACAAGCATTCTCATACAAGGTATCACCTGTAAAATTGTTTAAACCTGTTTCTATGTCACAAATTGTTCAGTACTTCTAGAAATCATATAAGTGATATGGAGTGATTTAATGTATGTAGATGTTTGTATACCTATGAATGTAACAAAAGAGAATAACATTAGAAAAATATAGTAAAATACTACCTTCAGCTATAACAGTAACATTGTTTTTGCTGTCATCATTTGGACATTGAAGATGTTTGGTGTTGCTCATTTTTTTCATGTGATACTAATGGCATTATCATGTCAGTGTTGTTTTCATTCTATTTATATTCTCTGTCTTTGAAGAATATGATTAGATTTTACATTCACTTTAACAATTAGGCTTAAGTTAGGTTAGGTTAGGTTAGGGGAACTGTATCTTTTGGCTTAGGGGATAAGTTTAGTCTATTGATATGCTCCGTTTATGGGTTAAATTAAAGTTAATGGTTAGTTTACAGGTTAGATTCAGTTTTAGGATTAGGTTTAGGGGAAGGTGGAGGGATCAGGTTTATGTTTCAGGTAAGGTCATTACAGGTTTAGAGTTTGGTTTAGGATAGGTACTTTATTAAATAACAATTATCAAGGTTATTCACTAAAGGGTGAAGCATTTGGAGAAGGCAGGGGAAGTGAACAATCTGGGCCAAAGTAGCCGATTTGGAAAAATTCTCAAATTCAGCTCACCTTCCAGTTCAGCTATGCTGTCCTGGATTGGTCACTTCCCATGCCTTCTCCAACCTCTTCACCCCTTTGTGAATAACCCTGTATGTTTTGGGTTTAATACACTTTCAGTACTACTTGTGCCCAAATTTATTCTACCAAAACATAACATATTGAGCTATTACTGACAGGAAGGGTAAGCAGTATTGTTAGTAATTACTGTATATTATTCCTGATAAAGTTAGCTAACGGGGTTCAAATGTTTCTATGGTAAATCTCTTATGTTACCCAATAAACAGCATCATTTTGGCAGCAAGCTTTTAAAAGCAAAGGGATTTAAAGGTTTCAAGCAAAGCTGGACTGTTGGGTGGCCATACAAGGTGCTTGCCTTGGGTTCATTACATGGGGACTCAACTGGGTCCTTACAGCAGCAGTCATATGGTAGCAGAGTTTATATTAGCACCTTGTTATGAAAATATAATTGGAGGATGGCATCCATTGGTCTACAGTGTGTTCATGATAAACAAATGGTGACAGCAGTGGCGTTGTAACTGCTTTTACCTTAGGAACTCTTGGAGTCAATAGCTATGTTGGCACTTGTAGTTCCACATTAGGGTGACGGACTTGGCCTGTTTGGCTCTGTGTTAGGTACATAGCTGGCTGACAATATGGTTGCTATGCCAAAATGTGTTTGTTTCTGTTTTACAGACAACTGTTCAGACTAATTGTGAACAGCTGAAAGTGTTTACAGACATAGAGCCAGAATAACATTCAACTGGCTTCAGGGATAGTATAGTCTATTTTTGTAATTCCTCCCGATAAGTAATTCTTTTTAATGGTACTAGCAGATAATATGTAACTATTGTCTGCCAGAAATGGTACTTGGTCAGATTCAACAAGATTTAGGTTGACCAAAATATTAAATATTTGGCATGTGTGCAAGTCTGAATGGTCAAGGCTACAGCTTCTCCAGCAACTTCTGCTACTTGCTCCCATGGTACAGTTAATTTGGATTTTAACTGCAGCCTCTAACACTCTCTTGTAGAAGGTCCCTAGCCTTTGCCAGCCTTCAGTAGCATGTTTGCAGCCTCTGGTAGCCTCCTGTAGCATTTCCACAGCCTCTGGCAACCTGCAATATAGAAATACAGAAGTCTGCAGGGTCAAAACTTGGACATATTTTTTTTTTTTTTTACAAAGGAATGAAAATGGAAAGGACACATAAGTAATTCTACTATTTATATGTTAGTAAATGTGTAGATAACAGAAGACTTGTTTTGTGCTTCAGATAATTTTTTGTTTTAGAAGAAAAGAAGAATAAAATGGATAAAAAAACTAAAGCAAAATAAACCCATGTGCACAGGGCCTTGTTGCTAATATGACAACAGAAGGACAACATTAAAGCGTGGCATTTATGAGTGAAGGATCTTGTGAAATCACCAAGAACACACTAAAGATGTATTTCTTGCATTGTTGTACATGTCATATTTGTATGTATCAGCTTACTTACTTATGGCAGCTTTATTTCTTAGGCTTAAGAAAGTACACCGATTACAAGATGCGTGTTGCAGCCTCAAACACAGCAGGTGAAAGCTCTCTTTCTGAAAAAAATGATATTTTTGTAAGAACTCTGGAAGATGGTAAGTGTACATGTTCAATTTATATTGACAAGTTCATTTCATGGAGACCTTACATGTATTGGCCTACCTAAGCAAATAATTGTCATTGTGTTTTTTTCCTATATAACATGCACACAGCTATCAGAAGAGAGAAACTACAATCCCTCCCTTTTGTGTATAGCTCAATACATACTTTTGATTAGATAGAGAGGGTGCAAAAGCAGACAGCCTTTGTTGGACTCCAATGTTGAAAATCAATTTCATGTTCTGTGCACCCTGAATTGAATGGTTATTTGTGAAAAAACATATTTTTTTTTTATAAATAGTAAAAAATAAATAAAACATTATTTTAAAAACATACAAAAAAGAATAAAATGAGAACCAAATCATCATAGTTTCCCTTGAGGTAATTTTGAATATTTTTGAATATTCAAAATTACCATACCATAAATTTAAAACATTTTCATTAATATGTCCTATTGGAAAGATTTGTGTAAACATTTAAAATTACATTGGAAAAAAATAAAATAAAAAAGAAGCCCCCTCCCTGATCTTCTCAGCCCACATTTTAGTAGCTATATAGGGCCTAATTTAGTTGAACTCATATAGCCAGCAAGGTTCCACTGATCATCCCCCCCTCAGCAGAAAATCTGTACACTTGAAATACCTGTACACGTGTTTACATGCTTAGTGGTTCATAACTGGAATAAAGCTTAGTACATGTGAAAAACTAACAACTAACAATCATCAATCAAGACTCATTTAAATAAATGTATATTTTAGACCATAAGACATTTATTAAAAAAAAAATATGAATAGAAATGTGTGGAAAGTGTTTGCAAAGTATCATAAAAATTGTAGAAGTATAAACTTTTTGGAAAAAATAATTCCATGTCCAATATTTAATAATAAATACTTGTTTTTTTATAATTAGAAGTAATACTTGAATGAATTAGCCCTCATAAAATAATAAAATTTTATTTCATTGAACTGATTTGAATGTCTGCTCTCCAATCCATTTAGTTTAGTAAAAAACAGATTTTTTAGATTGCAAAATAGTTTTATTTGTGTCGGAGAGATATAGGGGTTGATTTACTAACCTTATAAACACGCCACAAACAAGTATACACCTCTGTAGTGTGTTCCCTCCCAGCATGATCTATTGGTGGAATCTAGACACCTTTGTAGTGTGTACACACCCAGCAGGTGTCTTGTGCAAAGCCCTGCATGAATTGCAAGGTGATGTTGTGTAAATTAGCTCTACGTTGTGTTGCTTGCGTTGATGAATGCAGGAATGTAAATGCATGAGCTAACCATTTTTGTCTAAACTGTGAAGCAGCATTATATATGCATCATGTGCATGATTTTTCCATGTTTGGCATTAGTGGAAATATGCTTTTAGAGACTTGCATGCCGCTATTAGAGTGGTGTGTAGCCTATGGCACATGCTACATGACGCGCACATACGTAAATACATAAAAACGCGCCATAACGGCGTGAAAATGTGACACGTTGCTCGTGTTTGGTTGATAAATACGTTTTGCTGTGTAAAAATGCACACGCACCTGGTGCGTGTGTGTGTCTAGGTTAGTAAATCACCCCCATAGAGTTACAATAACATTCACAGTAGGTAAATGCCAACACTTTTCAGTAGTTTTCGAAACGTATACATTGTATTATTCAGGATACTGAAGACAACAGAGATAAAGTAGGAATATTTCTTTACAACCTAACATGTCAGGGGGTGTCGATTTCGGAGCATTTTGCATCTGTACCTTGCACATTGCCCTGGGCACTGGACCGCCGTGCTTTTTGTCTACTGAGATGTCTATTGCCCCAGGCGGGCTTCAGTTCTTTGGCCATGTATCGGTATCCCTAGAGTTTAATGCTGTCAAGTGACAGCCTAGTAGCACTAACAACAACTTTTTCAGCATAGACTCACCAGCTTCTTTCATTCCGCCTCTCCGCTCTCACCCTGTTGTCCCCTCCGAAAGTCTCTCCACCATGAGCAGTCCTCCTCTCAGATACACCAATATTCCCCTGCTAATAGGAAATAGCACCCAATGCCTCCCGCTTTTTTCCCCCTTGTGACTTATGTGGCAGGATGACCTCATCTTTCATTCCTGAATGGTATTCTGTTTATTGTCATTCAGAGGTTTGCCAATAACTGAATAGGCACAATCCCTGTAGGAGAGGTAACTCAGTTCCCTCTATTTCAGCTAGGAGGGCCATTACTTTTTTCCAGTAAGTGGATATCGGCCCACAAGTCCATAGACAGTGTTGCAAGTCTGCTCCTTCAAGGGTGCATTTCGGGCCAGCTTTCAAAAATGGACTGTCTGCTTTAATTTTGTGAAAGAAATCAAACGCATAATAAGCTTTATGTATAATGCGGGACTGAGTTTCCCTCCACACTTCGTTAGTTGTACACTTCCAGACCATGTGGTATCCGCTTATCAGTTTATCGTGAAGGTTGTCCTCCTGGATATTTTTACGCCATTTCAGTAACGAGGATTTTGTTATGGGTGGGAGAAACCTAAAAATGTAATTAGAGGCATGCATAGATTGCCTTGATCGGGTAACATTTGTCTTGGATCACCAGGTCTAAGCAAGTGGGTTTAAGGAAAAATTGTGGCGTCTGTGTTTCACTTTTCAAATAATTAGTCAGTTGAGAGTAATGTAGAAAATGGTTACTGGAAATGTGAAAACGTTCACAGAGTGTTTCGAAAGAGAGTGGTTGAAACAGTAACAGTAACTGTAAGCGTTGAACGCCTATAACACACAAAGACAGCGAGCTGTCAAGTAAGTCTATACACACTACTACATGTGACTTCCTTTTTTCCCACCTGCACTTACACATCTCACCTATCTCACACTACCAGGACTATAATTGTTATGGTAAGTGTCCTTACACAAGCCAGCTATAGTCTAATCGTGCACTATCAAGTAGTAGGAGCTATACTGGGTGACCTCTTAACCCCCTTAACCATACAAACCTGAACTTGCAATAGCTGTACCGAGGCTACATAGGGGAAGCATATAAGAAGTACTAGTAAAACGACTGGATGAACAAATGAAAAGATAATGCTTGATAAACAAAAAGAAAAGTAAAGAGAAAAAAACAAAAAAGTTCGGAAGAGTGGGAATATGGATATGAATCAGGGCTCATAACCAGTATAAATCAAGGTGAGCCAATAATGGACAGGTTCTTGAGCGAATACGTGGGAGCATCTCAGGAGAGGGTTCCCTCAAGTTCCATAAGGATTCTCAGGGGACATTATCCTTGGACAGTCCGTACCCCTCTGCAGTATAAGTGGGTCAGCCATTAGTCAATCCGGCATTCTCAGGTCTGGGATTTCTCACGTTCAGGGGCCGGAGGGGGCTTCAGTGGTGACAGTGGTGACATTCTCATCCGTTTTCCGCTAGTTTGAGTGTGTTGGTCCCTTTCGACGGGGAAAAATACTTCCAGTTATGCATAGACATCCGAGGGGTTTGTAAAGACCTTCTTCTCCCCTTCCGTTGTTTGGAGAGACGAAGCAATCCGGTAGGCTTTGAGAAGCAATGTTTTATCCCCATAATTGAGATATTTTACAATCCCTGTGCGAGGGAGCTGGTTTTCCTGCGATTGTGCACCCAGTTGGTGTGCCCTTTCCACAATACAGTGCACTGGGAGGCCTAGAAGAGCCGGTACCGCTTGAGAGCAAAGTTCAGGCAACATCGCGGCTTGATAGGATTCTGGTAGGCCCACAGTTCTGAGGTTGTTCTGCCGGGAGCGATTTTCCAAGTCATCCAGTTTCTCTATCATGGCGTGTTTTTTTTGGCATTCTCTCTTATATTGGTGTGGGCCTGTGCCAGCTCATCCTCCAGCAGGGATATTCTATTTTCCACTTTGCTGATGTGTTGTGATTGCGCTAGTATGTCATGGCGTAGGGATCTGATGCCTTTATAGACGGCTGAGTCTACCGCCTCCTGGATTGTTAGTTTAAATAGTTTCGCCATCTCCTTCGCTATGGAAGTCGGGTCTGTCTGCCATTCCTTGTCCGATCCCGATTCTGCCATCGAGTCAGACAGTGTCATCGGGGTGAGTTCGGAGGAACCCGGGTCCGGGGACGCGGCCTTCTCGGCTACTCGAGGCCCCGTTCGTGTCTGAGGTTGGCTCCTGGCCACAAATTTATCCATGCCGATTAAGCAGGTCGTTTAGTCCAATCGTGCAGGATGTGAAATCCGGTTAGTTTGCTGCTGGTTGTGTGGTTTTGTAAGCTGATGGTAGTCGGATCTCCCTACATGTGCAGCCGCTGCAGCAGGCGCCGGAACCGCTCTAATTTTCATATCTTAACTGAGCAGAGAAGCTGATTGTTTGTCATGCACAGCTGCTCCAGATTTTGTCTGCTCCAGTTTTGATAAATTCCCCCCTATGTATCTTGCATGAAGTACAATTTCCCCCAACAAGGTCAGGAGTAAAACTCGACCAGCACCCCTAGTGGTGCACTCACTTTGAACATGATATTACTCAGTAGACTGGACCCTCTAGCCTAACGAGACACTTTTTAGTTTTTAACTATAGATACCCTTTAATTATATAAGTATTGGTAGCCCACCATTCTAGAAATGGTGGGCTAAAAAGTTTATAATAAGTAAAAAAAATAAAATCAACATTAACATCATTTGATCTCAGTTTGTCTCATCTCATGTGATGTATGATGTGGTAAGTTTAAGTACTTTTGATAAACTCCAGTAGAGAATCCACATACTTAGCAAATGTATGACCTTAGAAGTTCAGGCGTATAGTGTTTTACAATGCAAGAACTTAGTTAGAACCAATAGTAAATTAAACAAGCAAAGCATTGAGTGTATCTGATAATGCATATTTTCTGGTCCATCATAAGATTAATATATTTATTTATTAATACATGTGTATGTTTTATCTCTATTTACAGTTCCAGCATCACCTCCTCAGAATCTGGTTTCAACTGGTGTAAATGCGACTTCCATTAGTTTGGAGTGGTTCCCACCTTTAGAACCCAATGGAATTATTACACTCTATGAAATCATCTACACAAACTCAACAGTTATACTCTCACAAAACACCTCCTCTGTAAGCTACACCTTGACTGATTTGAATCCATACACCCTTTATAGAATTTCTGTTCGAGCTTACACTATGTTAGGACATGGAAACCAGTCAACACCAGTTCTTCCTTTAAAAACCTCTGAAACTGGTAGGTGGTATAATTTCTTTACTGGACATAAATGAATATATAATGTATATATGTACCTGGATTAACCAATAACATCCTGGAAATGCAAACTTATGATTCAATCAGTCAGTAATGCATAGATCATGAATTGAAAGTTTAGCAAGTTTCCTGATTTTATCAGCCAACTGCAGCAACTCATTTGTTTGTTTTACCTATACAGCATAAATCATAAACAAATACAGTATATTTAAATTAAGCCTCGGGCCCAGTTATGGACATATCATTATTTCCATATTCCTAAAGTGGACCAGAACTCAAACAGTGAAGTTTTGCTTATATATAGGGAAGATTTAGAAATGTTAATTGTGCCTACGCTGCAATCTGAATTATTTACCTGTTGTCTTGAACTCCTCCTGAAATATAGCAGTGCATTTCCTGATATGCAAGACACTTCTGTGCCTACAGCCTCAAAGCTGTATATCTGCTGTGTGATATCTAAGGCTCTACTGCCTCTGATTGCTAATCTCAGGAGATTTTGTAAGTGAGATTTGGTGATGTTACTGTCACTGTGATGCTCATTGTTCTCCTTGATGGAGGCTATGACATAAAGACGAAAACCCTGTTTTTTTTACCAAAATGCCCCCCTCCCCCCCCTCACACAAAAAGAAAACGTACAGAACAAAGCATGGTAAGTCACTGAAGGAGAAAAGATCATCTCAATGGAGACCACGGGCAATATTTGTGGCTAGTCTTTTGCCCTTCAGTTCCACAGCTTCCAGAATTCAAATCTTTTTAACCAGCATTAAAATAGTTTCAAGACAAACCCACACTGACCTCTGTAGCTGCAGGCATTGTGGGGCAATTCATCCTCAAAGTTCACAAGAGAAGCGCTAAATTTAGTACTGGCTTAGACAAGGACTTCATTGCTTCTGCTTATTAAGAATATGTAAATACTTGAATGTCCATATCCTGGCCATGTGTTTACTTTAAAGCTGTTTATTTTCCATTGTATATCATGTAATCTTTGAAAATAGTAAAAAATTTTAAACATTTTCTACCTATAGCTCTGGCTCCAGCTGTAACTCAAATTCTAGCTTTAACTGGTAAAATATTTATTCACTTGTTTAGGTGGCCATATAAGACATGATTTTTTTTTTTCTTCAAGAATAAGTTTTTATTCATCACATTCCAGATACAGTTCAGTTACATAATTATATGCATAAAAATAACAGTAATATCTACATCCAATCGCTATTCACCTGTCTATAATTGCTAATCAACTAATAATCCATAGTCCGATGCGTGACACACTGATCCGCAATCGTAAATACTTATACAACTATTATATCAAATAACACAAAAAAATGGTATTATCTAAAATCCGGTACCATTCACAACTCAATCTAACCCCTACCCACCCACCTCCCCATCTCATACTCCTCCCTTCAATACATTCGCCTGCCAACACCTCAAGGACAATCCAACACACACAAAAAAGGGAGAAAAAAAAGAAAGAAAAATAGAGGAGGGAGGAGGGATCAACACACTAGGTCCTTACATGTATTGTTGGATCTCTGTTGAGCCAAGAAAGGCCATCCATGGTCTCCATTTTTCTACAAATGTCACGTGTCTATTGTATACACGCAATGTCAATTCTTCCATTCGCATTATGTGGTTCAATTCTAGTACCCATTCCCAAGTCTCGGGGGTATTTAATTGTCTCCAGTGCCTTGGAATTATCGCCCTTGCTGCTGCCAATATAGGGCATATCAGTCCCCCCTTGATATTTTTTACTGAGCCCGGGAGCATTGATAATAATGCTACTTCTGGAGTTTCAGGTATTTTTAATCCCGTGATTCTATCTGCTATTTCAAAAATGATTCTCCAGTAAGGCTTTATTCTCTGACACGTCCACCATATGTGCAGCATTGTACCCTCCTCCAATCCACATCTCCAGCACATCTTGGTTACTTGCGGGTTTATTTTGTGTACCGTCACTGGGCATCTATACCACCTAGTTAATATTTTAAAGTTCCTCTCCTGTATTCTAGCCGAGATACTCGATTTAGAAGTTAAGAGAAAAACTTTATCCCATTCATCTTCTGAAAAAGTCTGTCCTATTTATCGTTCCCACTCCCTAATATAATAGGGGGGGGGGGGCAGGAATATCGCTTCGAAAAAGTATATTATATATTCTTGACACCCTGTGTTTCCCCCCGGGTTTATTTAAGATCATTTTCTCGATTGCCGTCAACTCCCTCTCTATTGATCCATGAGTACACAGGTAATTGTAAAAATGTTTAAGTTGGAAATACTAAGACATATAAGACATATTATACATATAAGACATGATTATTTCACCATGCACAAGTTTTACATGTCAGTGCTACGTAATACATATGGCAATTACATGTAATTGCCATATGTATTACATGTCATGTAAACATTGCCGTACAGAGGCTTTCTGGAGATAAATTACATATTCTCTAGGTGCACAGATGTCACTTGTAAAATGCAAAGAAAGGGGAATTCCTAGAGTCTGAATCTGACTGCCTTGTAGAGGCAGCAGATATCATTCATATGCAGGAAACATTAATTAGCAGAAAACTGTGCTTGTTGTGAATATATTTTTATAGAATCATTTCATTATGGTAGTAGCATCTGCTATGGCAGCCATTACAACCATTGCATTATCTACCTCTTCATTCTGAAATAGATAAAATGGAACAAAAAAAAAAGATTTGATTAGTTCAACAGAGCATAAAAGATACATAACTACAAACAGAATTTATTTGCAATATGATTTTTAAAGGACCAGTCCATTTAAAAGGTTATTTAGGTCAAGGGTGAAGATTGCTAAGCTTAGTCACCCATTGGTTTTATTAAGGGCCCAGGTAGTGAGTTCACCTGCCATAGTTACTGGCTCTGTTTAATAATTAAAAAAAAATCTATCAGGGAGACCAGAACTCCACTGGCTTTTCTGTGGAAGTGAAGGCCTGAGTACTCAAGCAGAGATCTGAGCACCAGAATTCCCAAGTAGACCAGATATGTTATGACTGTACTTCAACTGATCATAAGAGAAATTTGTGTACAGGCTGAAGCCACCTCTTTCCCTCTGAAAATTATAGCAAGGAATAATAATAAAAATAAATAAAATAAATACAAATAATAATGTGCCTAATGGTAAATGTGACCCTGATGATTACTGAACATATTTTCCCCAATATGAAAAAGGTAATTTTTAATCCTTTTTTGTCCTAATGCACAGCTTTACTTATTTTTCAGCTCCAAGTAGTCCACCATATGATTGCCTCTACAGAAATCTCTCTTCTACTAGAGTATTACTTACATGGCAACCTCCTGTTCACGCCAATGGGATTATATTGTTTTACAAGATCATCTACTGGAACTCTTCTCATACTGTTACAAGCAACAGTAGTGAAGCTTTAATTGTTTTGTCAGACCTTAAAAAATATTCCCAATATCAGGTTATTGTATCTGGTTATACAATTCATGGAGATGGAAACCAGTCAAGTGAGGTACTACACATGACCACTATGGAAGATGGTAAGCTCATACCATTAATATATATAATTTTACCTATAAGTAAGATTGATTGATGCAGTTTAGTATTTAACTCATCTGTATACAAAATTATTTACATTTATACAAATTATACACATTGTAAGATCACAGCCAGCTCCTTCTTAAAGGGTTTCTGGCCATGTTTCATGTTGCAGCCATATTCAGGGTGTAACATGAAACATGGTCACATCGCAACACCCCCACCCCCATCTTGCCCCCACTTACCTGAACCATGGGGTTCTTCTCCCCACAGGCTGCTGCTCTTTTTTTGAAAATGGCCATTGTCACCACAGTAGTCCATTCTAGTCCATTAATTTTTTTCCTCCTGCTCATGTCACTAAATGTCCATACCTTGCTATTCAGGGAGAATTTTAGGTATTTTAACTGCAATCCACTGATCCCGATTGCAATGTTTTTCTTGCTGCAATGAAAAAAATAAATAAATGCACATTTTTTCTTTTAAGAAGATGTGTGCATTTATTATTATAAATATTTTTTTTTTTTTAAAGGTGGACTTTACCTTTATGTTATGGATGGTGCTTGTACCTTTTTTAAGGGAACTTCAGAAATGGTGTTATTTTTTGTGATTTGAACATTGATAAAGAATTTAACAGGTCATCTTGGTAACGATGCTTAAGAAAATCTGGACATGTGATATGTGCAAAATTATGTCTGAAACATTATTTTCTAAGCTATAACTCATCAATATTCTAGACATAAATGCTTGTATAATTTTTACATTGTATTTTTCTGTTTGCTGTGTTCTTTCTCTTTCCAGTTCCTGATGATCCACCTCATAATCTATCCTACCGAACTTTAAACTCTACCTCCATACAGCTGTTTTACTCTCCACCCTCTTCCCCCAATGGTGTTATTAAGTATTATTCAATCACGTGCCTTGATACTGCAGGAAAAGCTCAGTATTATAATAGCAGTGGATGTTCTATAATCCTTAGCGACCTTCAAACGTTTACTGAATATGTTGTCACTATTAAAGCCAGTACATCTGTGGGATATGGATCAAGATCAAGTAGTACACTCTTTGTAAGAACTGGTGAAGATGGTAATTTGTACACATCATTTTTCTCACCTTTAAAAGCATGCCCATATTTTAATATTTCTTTTTTTAACATAATTATATTTCCTGTACGTGTGGCTATTAACAGGCAGAGTGAAGAAAAAGCTAACACATTAATATCTTATCTTTGCTCTAAAGTAATTTGTCATTTTGTGACACATCTTAATCATGTGATCTTCCAAACTATCTTTACTCTTCAATTTTTTATTGCTAAATAATAATGATGAGCATTGAGAGAAAGAATTACACATAGTTTAATTATTGCCTCATGGTACAGTTCACTTTGGGCTATCAGATGTGGTTGCTACAGTGATCAGTGGTCATGTATTTCATGTGTAGCACATTAGCCACAGGTGATCTCCTAAAACACGCAGTAGAACATGCTTGGGGAGCAATTTATCAAAACTGGAGCAGGCAAACTCTGGAGCAGATTTGCACTGCAACCAATCAGCTTCTCTGTCTCATTTTCAATCTTACCTGAGCAAACTGAAGAGAGAGGCTGATTGATTGCCATGGGTAACTGCTCCAGATTCTGTCTACTCCCGTCTTGATAAATTACCCCCATTATATTTTTAAAAACTGAGTCTTTTTGTAAGTAATATAAAAACACCACTTTTTAGACAACAACTATTCAATAAATTAACATCTATTGCAAGAGATTAAGATAAGCTCCCCAATATGTTTTTTATGTTATTGATCCATTATCTTGCAAGTTAAAAATAGAAAATATGTGTGATTCTACAGTGCCACTGGCATAATCTTGAGTCAATTAGTAATTCTCATAACTGGTATACTGTATGTACCTAATATCATAATATATTATACAGTATTTGTGGTGCATTAGGTTGATTCAATGAACAAAGGAATTGGGGTCCTTTGTTCATTAAATAATATATTAAATAATTGTGTTATCCACAATTATTTAAACTTCACTTCTCAAATGTAAAAGTTCACTTAATAAAGTGAATGTTCACTTTGCAAAACAAATGTTTCGACCCCTTCACACATCCTGCGGCCACCTACATTTTACCGCACCAAATCAATGCAGGTCACCGCAAAACAATTGTTTTCTATGACGCCCATTTACACCACAAAGCGAGTGTGATAGGCGGTGCACTGTGATAAAATGCAAACATGCTGCATTCTAACACAGTGCATTAGAAGCCACCGCAAGTAATCTGAAGGCAGTGCAGCGCACCGCGCTGCTGCATAGGGGCCTGAATAGAGTATACACATTGTACATACCACATAAAGTTAACAAAAATAAATAATAACAGTTCTGGCACACTGTGTGTAGTGAACAAGTGTAGTGTGAATAAGGTAAAGCTGTGAAAACCCAGTCGTGTGTTTTTTTAAATATCTCTTGCACATGATGGGTTTGGATTGGGGTGAGATTCACCGTGAACATGGGGGTCACCCTTTTCATTAACATTCACTTTGTAGAGTGAACATACACTTTGTACTTTGAACAACCTCTATTCCTTTAATAACTCAACTCTAATGCATTATAAGTTAAAAAGGTCTTCAAAATACAGCTAAATATCAGACCAAAAAAGTCTTCCACATACTCAGAAATGATCAACAAAATCAGTGTGCCGTGTAAAAATAACTTAAAATCCCATGTAATAATTTTACAAATATTTTTTGTTTTTAAATTATTAAAAGAATTGAATGACATTTTGGAGCTGTCAATTAATACATTTACTATACACATAAATAACAAGAAAAGGAAATCAACATGTTACCTGTCCCATCATCTGATTTATGACTGTAACATTACATGTGGAAATAGTTTGCAGGACATAGAGTTGCGAACTGTAAAGAGCTGTTTCTCACAGGAAAATTTATTTATGAGGAAACAAGGAAATGAGCTAAAATGGATAGTCATGATGAATGGAGGAAATGAAATGCAGCAGAATGCTAAAAACAGTATTTCTCATTTTAGTGTAATAACTGATTAGCAGCAATTAAATCACATTCTCAAATTAAAAGAGCACAAATGTATAGATTAAAAAGTAGGTTTACTAACAGATATACAAAACACAAAAAGTCCCCAGCTTCACTTGCCAGCTAGCCTGCAACCAAACAAATTGCCCTGTCAACAGTATGCTTGGCTGCAGGCTAGCTGGCAGGTGAAGCTGGGGATTTTTTTGTGTTTTGTATTGTTGTAAGCCTTCCCAATGTGCTCCCTGCCAAAAAGGCTGGTTATAGATTCATGCAGGTACAATTTTTTCTAGTTTTACTAACAGATATCCATTTATGCTCATGTTTGCTGTGAAAGTTCTGTAGAGCCCTTCACTTACTATACTGTGTTATACCTGGGACCTGGAAAAATCTCAAAATCTCAAAAAGATTAGGCACAAGAACAAGGAAGCAATTAAATCATTATTGCATACGTTGATTAATACTGTATGTTGTTGTACTTTCCAGTACTAGACAACTCCCTATACCACAACCAGCAAAATTCTCCAAACTGCCTTGGGCAATGTCATAATTGTGGTCATTCCTACCCATGAATAGGGATGGGATTCAAATTCATTGCTACCTTGGGTTTATGGTGAATCTTGCAAGTTTTTAAAATTGACTGGTTATTTTTTTTAACCATAAGCTACCACATGGTCTTAGAACCATGGCCATCAGGCTTAGGGTCTGTGTCAGCAAGCTTTTGTTTGCATCAAATGGATCTATGGGAATGCAAAACCCACTTAAAGCAGGTCAAAGGCAGGTCAGAAGGAGGTAAACTACAGGTCAAAAGCACCTGTCCATGAACTCTGAATTATCTCAGAAACATCTCAATCTAATATCATACTGATGCCATCTCCCCAAACATAAAGCCCATTGACACACAGGCGCTTAGAAGGGCCAAAAAAGGGCTTTTTGATAAGCCAGCCCCTCACTATAAAAGTAAGAGGCTCTGAGCAGCTGTAGAGTCAGTGTATTAGAAGCTTAGAGTCAGTGAGGTTTTTAAATTCTGAGTGCTAGCTCAGCTAATTATTCCCGTTGCTGCTATTTTTGCCTTGTTCTTTTTATTATTAAGAGCTTGTTTATTGTTGATTTTAGGTAATTTGCCATTCTTTGCTGCTGTCATGTGACCTTCCTTTAAGAAAAAGTGGGCTTTTGTTTCAAGTGAAATTTTGTGGGGGTTTTTTGCTTCTCTAGAGAATATAATGGTTTTTGATTTATTTTGTCAAGGTCTTTTTTTTAGGTTGAGGGTGTTCAAAGTGCAGCATTTACTTGTTGGGAATCAAATGATGGGATCACAGCTCACCCACTCTTGCTGATCTTTCAGCAAGGTGCATGGAAGAGCATGTTAATTACTTACCCAACTATTCTATAAGGGTTTAGTCTCTGTAAAGGTACAATAAGCACAGGCATGGTGTGCTGCACCTTAAGAAGCCATAAGTCAGGGTGCTGTATGTGCATCACTGATACTTGAATGCTAACAGGACTGGATAGTTGTTTCCCTTTAAAGTGTGTCCTTAGCTAAACCTGTTCATGTGCATAGCCCACCTGAACAGGTAAATGGGGCAGGTGCACATGCTCCAGAACAAAAGAAAGATACCTGGGGTGCAGTGAGTCAGATGTGTATGCAGATTAGGGATTAAAAACAGAAGCAGAAGCAGGCAGGCAGTGGGAAGCAGGGAGGAAAGAAGGAACAGCAGCAATACAACAGGAGAATACAGTTAGCAGAGAACAGGTAAGCTCCTGACATGTGTTGTGAGCTGTGATCCTTTTTTTTGTTCAAGAACATGTGAATGTTGTGCTGCAGCATTGTTTGAAAGAAAAATAAAACTAAGGTGAGCCTAACCACCTCACATTCACTGAACCCCTCTTTCCCCGTAGTAAAAATAAGTATACACCTGTTAGGCCTTTTATCCGTGATTTAAATGATCCTTCTTCTGGCCAATTTTACACTGCCTTATCATCTGTAGTCTATTTCCTAATTCTTGAGTGAAAATACCTGCCCGTGATCTGTATCTCTAGCACCTTTTGGCCTAATCTTGCTTACTAAAAATATGCTGCTGGTCAATTTTAATACTTTTACTAAAATAATTGGGCCTAGTCTTGCTCTTATCAGTTTTTATTTAGAGTTTGAAATTGGCCAGTGGAAGCACAGTTCTGCATCAGTGAGAACAGAGACCATCTCCTCAAACCACTGTTTAGATCACTTTTCTATTATTGTGATATACATCCAAAACTTCCCTTCACATAAATTACTAAAAAAATATTTTAATACGAAAGATCTTTGTCCTTTTATGCTATGGGTCTGTGATATAATGCAGCTTATCAAACCTTAACATATTGCTTACAAAAAAATGCATTCAATTGCAAATATACTTGTATTGTGTGTATTCAGTGTGTACATTGCAACTTTTCACTTTTGAATTTCCCGCCGGCTGTGACGCTCGAAAACAAAACTAAAAGTTCCATTTTCAGGCCGCGTACAGCAGAGGACGCCGCGGGATCGCAGGGACAAGGTGAGTGTCACTTTTCTCTGCAGCCCCAAGTCTGGCTCGGGGTTACCGCTCCTAGCATTGAAAATTCACCCCGAGCCAGACTCGGGATTACCGCCAGGGAGGTTAAAGCAGAACTCCAGTTTAAAATCAAAATCCCTGGACACTATATTGCAAAACACTAAACAAAGCATAACATAAATGTATGTACTGTATTGTATTCCTATGGTCACATGGTGACCTTGTTTAAGCCTAAATAAACTATTTTGGGGAAAATCAAAATCCCATTATAAGATAAAATAAAACCAGCTTTTGCTGCAATATTCACCTTTAATCTAAAGAATTCCATCAGTACTTTTTTTTGTCGCTAGATGTCCTCAATGTGATGTCCAGCATCATTCATCCTACTTCCTCTGAGCCCAGTTTATCATGGACCCATCGTACCCGGGGACTGGACAGCAAAGCTTTCTCTTTCTATAAGCATTGTCAGCTCATTAATTTATTGTGTGGCTCCTTGTGTGGCTTCTCCCGCTCACACTTCAGCCCTGCTATACAGGGAATACAAGGGCCTGCTACTAGGTCCAATTCTGATACTTACACTGCTTGCATTTATAAAAATACACTTACTAATATGTTGATGATTATAAAGACCCGTTAATGTATGTTTTTTATGTCTACATCTTGTTTAGCTTTAACATTATCTTTGCCATTACCTCACCCTTTAACCTAAAAGTCAGGTAAAATATATAGAAATTGTGAATCTAAATGTTTTTTTCTGTGTTTCTTTTTTTTTTTAGTACCTGATAGTGCTCCAGAAAATATAACATACAAGAACGTTTCATCCACCGAAATAATTGTGTCCTATTCCCCACCATCCATACCGAATGGAATAATAATATATTACACGGTGTACATAACATGGCAGAATGGAACAGTAGAGAGTGCAACAGACACACCTTACCTAACACACAGCATTTCAGGTATGAGGGTTTTTTTTAACCTGTACATATTCAGTGTTCCAAGGCAAATATGTTTCTAACTACAAGATAGACCAGAGCCTATGAAGGTAGGATTTCAGTGGGTGGCAGACTACTACCTGCTTCATCTTTTCTACAGTTCATTTTTACATAAGTCTTCTGGGAGAAATGATCAGGATGTTAACACACACACACACAAAGTGCAATCGTGTATTATTTGAGGTGCATACAAAGATCTCGTATCATAGGACAGGCATAATGCAAGTTGCAAGGGGGGCACATAGCTAAAATCAGGTTCTGTGGGCTTCCTTTTAAAATATAAACTAGTTAAGTGGAAAATGCTGCTATTTTAATATCAATCTTTATCTCTAAGGACAAATCAACTATATGCATAATAAGACTACAGAAATAAGCTGTAATCAACTTGTAATAAAAAGCCACAGAATAAAGATATGGATTTGTTTTGAGCCATAATATTTCATAATTTATTTTTAAAAAGGATAGACAATTATGTTAAACTGAAGGGACGGCATTAGCCTATTTGTGAGATGTAGGGTTTCCAAAACGTCTGCACAAGTTATGATTTATGGCACAATAAGCAGATTTTATTTGTGGCCTAACTGGAAGCACCAAAACATATTATTATTATTATTATACAGGTTTTATATAGCGCCAACAGTTTGCGCAGCGCTTTACAATATAGGGAAGACATTACAATCACAATACAAATCAAGACAAGATGTTAAGGAGGGCCCTGCCCCTGAGGGCTTACAATCTAAAAGTATGAGTCATTCTAGTGATCCTATTAACACTGTTTAATGTAACAATTTCTAAGAGATATATAGAATATCTATATAGAAATGACATTGATGACCTTCTGCAAATACTAGTTGCCCGGTTGTTATTCTGACCCTCTGGCTTCAGTACTCGTTGAATCCTTGAACAGTCCTTATACAATAAGGAAAGTCAGAAAAAAGTCCTTATTTGCATGCCTTATTTAGGTTAGTGAATCAAAGTATTAAAGCAAGATGATCAGCATCACAGCCAGGAAACTAGCATTTGCAAAATTAAGTGAAAGAATGAAAAAAAGGCACTCTGAAGACTATGTTGTAGTGCAATGCATTTGAACTATTACCTCATCTTTTGGCATAGCCCCCATTTTATTTTCTCCTACCCTGTTGTTTTTTGTTTCTGTATGATAACTTACACAGGCACATTTATCTGTGCAATTTCTTTTACATATTAGCCTTTAATTTATTTATATAATCATACAAAAGCACATAGGGGTGTATTTATCATTGATTTGACTAGAAATTTGTACATCAATCTCTCAATGGTTTCCCATTTTTCAACCATGATTTGGTTTATTCGATTTACTCTATTTATGACTTTGGCTCTACAGTTAGGTCACACTGACATTATCGCCCACATTTGGACTAAGTGAAATATAGGTAGTGATCTCATGGGAAACCCCTTCCATATAATTCCCTGTGGTACTTAAAACTGGGGTTGGAGCAGTGAGGAGGGGGGTTCTTTGCTTCCCTGTCTTTCACCTGCTGATGCTGAAAAGATGTCGCGTGAACCTTCAGACATCACTGGACCCTGGAAGGTAAATACTAATAAAAAATAGACTTATTTTAGTTTTGTGTGTGTTTTTTAATACTTTTTTGCCTGCTCACTGGTGACCTGGTTAGGGTTCTTAGACATATTTAGACATATTTTTAGACATATTTTTTCAGTGTGCGATTTTGTCAAAAGAATCAATATGTTAATATAATACTTAATAATCTAAATATATGTAAATAAGTTAATATGGAATTGATTTTCTGTTTTTTATAGGTTTGCGCAAATATACCAATTATATCCTCATGGTGTCTGCTAGTACTGTAAAAGGGGAAGGTATACAAAGGGCCATTTGCCTAGCTTTGAGCTAGGGTGCTTTGGCATGCCCCTGGTTTTTTTTAAGAACCCCCCTCAAAGTTCGCCCCAATGCGGAAGGCCAGGTGGATATGTATCAGCATAGCTGGGAGACTGTGTGCTTACTACTCCCTTACCAGGGGTGCCAGTCTGGTGTGCATGTTGGAAAATGAACAAAAGGACATTTGCCAACAAGATTTGCCAAAAGCATTTTAACAATGATTTGTACAAAAGTGAAAAATATTGACTATTGTACTATCAAGATTTGTCCTAGTAAGAATCAGATTAACTTGATTCACTCAGTGAATGTCATCAATTACATAGGAGAAATCCTGGCAGCAATTGTATGTAATCTTACTTGGGAAATTTAGACATATTTTTTCAGCGTGAGATTTTGTCAAAATAATCAATATGTTAATATAATACTTAATAATCAAAATATATGTAAATACGTTAATATGGAGTTGTTTTTTTGTTTTTTATAGGTTTGCGCAAATATACCAATTATATCCTCATGGTGTCTGCTAGTACTGTAAAAGGGGAAGGTGTACACAGTGAGGCACAAAACATTACTACAGAGGAAGATGGTAAGAGGGCTACAGTGTGCGCAACCTTTTATTTCTGTCTATTGTACTCACTTATGCAGCTATAAGATCAATGTAACTGTCATGTACCTTTGTGTGAGCCTGAAGTGACGAGGAAGGCCTCCCCTTGTAGCTCTCGTCTGAGCCCTACTGGAGTTGAGTCATCAGTTGCACAGACTGAGGGGGGCACGAGTGCCTATGGCTGATGAGGATGTTGACACACTCTCTAGATCAGGGCTCAAAATTTCAGGTCCTGAGCTACTAGCCAGGCCTTCGAAGTTACTCGCCACCAGTTGCCCTTCATATCACAAACAAACACACACAGGGCAAAACGCGCACACAGCACAACACACATACAGCCACAGCACAACGCACAGGACATTACACATACAGCCACAGCACAACGCACAGAGCATTACACATACACATTTCATCTGAAATACATTTTTAGTATTCGCACATGTCTAATAATATGTGTGTGAGGGTGGGCAGGGGGCAGTTTTTTTAAAATAATTTTTTACTTTTTAAAAAAATTTTTTTATTGTATTTTTATTGTAATTTTTTTATTTATTTATTTACAGTTGGGGGGGGGGCTTCGGGGAAATATTAGGGGTCCAAACAGACCGCTGACATTTCCCTTTGAAAATAGAAAAGAAATTGAGGACACCAAATCCTCAGTTTCTATTTTCTACAGCCTCAGCACTCTATGAATGGGAGGCACTCAGTACAGAGGCTTCCCATTCATTCAGACACTGATAGTAAAATATTTACTATCAATAGCTTCTGAATGGGGAGGAGCCTCTGTACTGAGTGCTACTCCCCATTGAGGAAATCCAGAATGAACAGGCAGTAATGTAAATCACCGCCTGTTCATTCATAACTGGGGACACATAGCACTATGTGTCCCCAGTTATTTACAAACACTGGAGTGATCAGACGATCGCTCCAGTGTTTGTCCTTCTCACACGGAGGATCGGTAAATATCAATTATATTTACCCATCCCCCGCTCTGCCTCGCACAGAGCCGCTGTCATCCTGAAACGGACAGGATGACAGCGGTTCCGATCTCCTTGCCGCTCGGCCATCCTGACAGCTGCGAGCGCGGCTTCTCTCCCCCTCGGGGCGGCTTCTCTCCTCGCGGCTTCTCTCCCGCTCGGCCATCCTGACAGCAGGCATCATGTCGGTGAGGAGGAGAGAAGCCGCCCCGAGGAGTGCCCGACTCAATGGCTTCATTTCCACTCGCCCCCACGCAATTTTCACTCGCAATTTGTGAGGGGGCGAATGGAAATTTTGAGCCCTGCACTAGATGATGGTGCTGACAAGTGGGTGCCAGAGGTAGCTGGTGGTTTCTAGCAGATCAGTCAGAACTGGAGCGAAGAGCAGAAGCAAAGTCAGGAACAGGCCGGGTCAGTAATGTGTGGGCAGCATTGTATCAAATCAGGAAGCAAAGCAAAGTCAGAAGCAGGCCCAGTCATACACTTACGAGAAGAGTGGCACCGAATTAACAGATGGAAGAATGGTGGGCGGGGAAGCCAAGGTCAAACAGATATCAGGAACAGACCCAAGACACACAGAGTACAGCTGAAGATCTCCCAGCAGTGTGCAGGAGCAGAAGGCATCCTTAAATAGCCCGCCTGGTGCCAAGAACAGGCGTGCAGATGCTACGGCGTATGCATGGTGTTGCGTGTGCACGTACGTGTAGTTTTCACATGCGCAATATTGGAAAGTGCTCACTTGTGTGTTCACATACTTACTGCTGAAGCCCCAAAATAAATAAAATGCTGTTGTGAAGCGACTATTACCCAGGAAAACAAAAAAATTAATGATTTATTGGAGACCTATCTGTATAGGGTTGATTCATCTAACTTATTTGACCATTTAGGATGTTGGCTGGGGCTCAGTCCTTGTTTGCTTGTTTTTAGATTAGGTCTCATATAGTTTTCTCTATATTGCTATGGATGATTTTCCTCTACCTTTTGCTGCTCATTATTTTACATTTGCTATTGTGCACATAACAGAAATCAGGCTTACTGGTATATAATTTCTTGATTTGAGATTTTTATTTACTGAAAGATAAGTGTGGCCTTAACTACAGTCAGCACATGCATGCACCAGGCAGGGGATATACTGCTAAATTGCAAGGTATACACTTTTAAACTGTAAACCTGTTTTTAACTTCTTGGCACATCCAGATCCAATGCAGTGCTCAGTATACTGTCATTCAGGGCAAGATGTTTTTGTCAGAGTATGGAGGTGTGGTCAATGTAAGATTTAGAAGGAACCTAAACCCAACAATCTCTTTTTTTTCTCCTCTACTCCTCCTTGAAACTTTATTTTTAAAATAAGAGCTTATAAGTTCTCACTAATCTACTGCTTCTGTAATACTTCCAAATGTGGCTGCAACAAGGAATAGGCTCTGCATGAAGAAAAGGCACTGAATGGCTACTAAGGCCTCACAAATTACTCTAGTCCTCAAGAACCATCAACTAGTCATGCTTTTCATATTTGCAGGCAGTTGCAAAGCTATTTTATTTAATTGCAGTATAAAAGGAGATCACTAATTATTTTAGCTGTCAATGTTAAACAAAATCTGTTCATGGACTCTGCAGACTGGCCTGGGAAATGTTAATAGAATTTGCCAAATTGAAAGAAGCTTATTTTTACTTTTAAAAAAACAGATCTGAAAGAAGAAAATTGCTTGGAATTTAAAGTTGGCACTGGATATTTGACATCAGAAGTTTATAGAGTTTCAGTATTTTGTTAAATCTGCATGCTGCAGAATAACTGGATGCTTGGCATGATTACACTGTTATGGAAATAAAGATGACATATGTATTATTTCCTGTATTATTAATGTGGCGTCACTGTGTGTTATATGTTGTGTAGCATGGAACGCTTTAAGCCTTGCAAGCAATCCCATATTTTTATGATCTACTGATGTTATGCCCAGCAGGAATTTTCCCACCTCTTGAAGGCTGAAAGAATTATTTCCAGCTTTCCTCCCCCAGAGGAGTTGTGTTGCAAATAACTTTATTTTTACATGCATTCACACCTATAAAGCTGATTTTTGCTTTTATTGGGAAAAAAATATTACAGCGCAGAATTCGTACAATATATTAAGCAAATCACTGTGGTATGCCTACTGATCTGTGTTCTCATGAAATCGTTCTTTCCATTGAATCACAGAAACAGATGTGTTAATATCACCATGAAAAATTGTCCTTCAATTTTGTAGCCAAGAAAGTAACAGTGTTATTGGAGCCGATGGAGTTGAAATACCTGTTCCTGGATCATTTTTAAAGTGCAATTTCAGTGGACTGCTTTTATGCAAATCATTTTAGATTGTTTGATTTGCATGCATCTCTTTTTTTCTTCTTCTTACAGCTCCATCGACTCCACCACGTTTTCTTGGTATAAAAGAGATGTCCAGTGTAATTGTGAAGTTATCATGGCAACCACCTCTTGAGCCAAATGGAATTATCCTCTTCTACACAGTGTATATCTGGTAAGAAATTGAAAACTACGGTAAAATATGTTCACTTATAATATTCAGTGCTGTGTACAAATAAATAAAAACACAATGGACTTTATTTAAAAACAGCGACAGTTGGACTCTAAAAATGTTGTTTCCTTGCTTCAGTTTGCCAAAGTGAATCGTCTATGCAAATGATGAGTAGTGGCTGACTGAAAATAGTTTTTTTGGTCATAACACATTATAGCTTAAGGAATTAAGCCAAATAGCAGTAGCCAAGTGTAGTTAGTTCCCAGTGTGTTAGAAAATATGCTAGTGTAACACAAGATCTGGTCCAGTGTTTCCTTAAAAAAGAATAGGAATGCAAATATTTTTTCTTAAATTATGGTAATTGTTATAATTACATACGAAAATTACTTTAGGTGATCTTTTATGCTATGATGCAAGTTGACGTTTTAAACTGAGCTATTTAATAAGTGAGCCAGCACAGGTATAATTGTTCCCATATTCATTCCTATTAATGTTTCATACTCATTGTGGCCCTCAGCCATCCAGTGGAGTACAGATCATCCATAGGAATGAAAGGGTTCCTGAGTACCGGTGCATAATAGGCAGATGACCTGGCTAGTATGTTTTGGATGGAAAAGCTGTGCAGCACTGGGCAGGCCTGCACAGTGGTATACTTGCGAGCAGAAATAAAGGGAAGCATTTCATTTTGCAGACTTCGCTCTGGTAATCTCTGAGATCATTGTGAGCATTTATGTGGCAGCCAGCATTTACTCATAGTAGAGTTTGTTAGCTTTAGTGAGGTGATGGAGTGGTGAGAGTGGAAGTCTGAATCATAGCCCACAACCCTCTAGGAGGAGAAACCAGTACTAGAGCTGAGCAGAAGGAGGGATGGGCAGCACTTTATTTCATTCATCCAGAGTTTTAATTTATATATTTATAATATATAAATTAATCCTGAAGTTCTAATGTATGGAAAGCTTGGAGGATACACCTTAAATATTTTATATCTAAATGTTAGAGCTGTAGTTTTGGAGTATATGATACATTTTTCTCTTTTTTAGGGATGAAATGTCAAATAAAACCATCAATGTTGAAGAAACTTCCGTGAAATTTCAAGACCTGGAGAGCAACCATGAATACAGTGCATATGTTACCTCTAGCACTAGATTCGGAGATGGAAATGTTAGAAGTGATATTTTAAAATTTAAAACTTTAGAAGGAGGTATGGAAAAATGTATAATTTATATGTCATTAAAATATAAATCCTTAGTGGCTGCTTCAGGTTACTGCACCATTTACTGTACTGGATAGTCTTCTTAGGTTATGAAAATACTAGGGATGCACCGATACCAATACTAGTATCATTATCGGTGCCAACACTCAGTATTTGGGTAATTGAGAACTCGTACTCACCCAAATGCTGCCGATACTGAATTTTCCGGTAACAGGAAGCCGGGTGGCAAGTCATTACATGCTGCCTGTCTTCCTAATTGGGTGGGCCTCATCACCGGGGTTCATGGAGCTGGCTTCTCTGCCAATCAGGAAGCCGGGGGTAGGTAATGATTGGCCGGCTTCCGGGAGGCTGGCTTCATGCTCCCTTGTCACTTGGTGACAAGGAAGCATGGAGCCCACTTCCCGGCCAATCTGGAAGCCAGGTGGCGTGTCATTACTGGTGACGAGGGAGCATGGAGCCGGCTTTCTGGCCAATCAGGAACTCGGGTGCCGTGTAATGACTCATCGTGTAATGATTGGCCACCTGGTTACAAAGGAGCATGTAGACAGCTTCCTGACTTATCAGGAAGCCCGGCAGTGAGTCATTACACGGTGCCCAGCTTCCTTAATACGTCTTCCGGTATCGGTATTGGTGAGTACCGGAAAAAAATATTCATACTCGAAACCAAAAAAACGGTATTGGCGCATCCCTAGAAAATACCTAGGAAGAAATATCCATCCTAACTAAACCATATCATGTGCACTTACCAATCTGGCTTTACTCATGTAACCTGTAAAGTTGTCATTGGCAATCCAACCGTCTACCTAGCTCTTCTTGGAGTATTCTAAAACATTCTCAAGCCAGATGGTGGGTGTAATCTTGCCAGATTGTTCCCTCTATCTCTGTTTAAAATATTCAAACAATATCCGTATGCATCTTAAATTCATGGAAGAAAGGTTCAACTCCAAGAAACTTTCAGACTTTCAAAATCCTTAACCCATTAAACAACAAAATCCCCTTAATGCTGCTAAAATGTCACCTATAATGATTGTGCTTGTAACTTTTTTCATAGTTTATGACCACAGGTGATAAGACGGAAGTATATTTGGCCTGTGTTGATGGGCTTTTGTTCACTTCAAATGCATTTCCTGCAAGGATTCAAAACCTGCTTGAAACAGGCCAAATGCAGGTCAGAAAGAGGTCAACTGCAGGTCACAGGCACCTGTAAAATATTCTTAATTATCTCTAAAGTGTCTGAAACTGATGTCAAACTGAGGCTGTCGACACAAGTCTAAAGCCTGTCGACACAGGTCCTAAATCTCATGGGGGAGAGAAGTCTCCTTTTTATTATTTATTTATGCAATTATTCTGTTTGAAAAGTTGTAGGATGTCACCCTGTATTTAAATATGGGTACATAGTAATATAAATATAATGGGTGGAATTTATCAAAACTGGAGCAGCTAAAAACTGGAGCAGCTGTGCATGGCAACCAATCAGCTTCTTTCTTCAGTTTTTTTCAGTTAAGATTTGAAAATGAAACAGAGACACTGACTGGTTGTCATGCACAGCTGCTCCAGTTTTTGTCTGCTCCAGTTTTGATAAATTCCCCCCAATGTATTTAAAATAATGTATATTGAAAAAGCTTTAAGACCTTTTTTCTTCTTTTTTAGTCCCAAGTGACCCACCAAGAAACCTTTCATACAAAAATATTAGCTCCTCTTCAGTGATGATTTTCTGGAGTGCACCCATAAAACCAAATGGAGTTATACAGTATTATTCTTTATATTATCAGAATTCTTCCAAAATCTACATCAGGGTAAGAAATACTATTCATTAAGAATAAAACCCATCTAAATGCCTTTTTCACTTACCTAAAGTCATAGTCATGTGATGCAAAGGTCCCATGTCTTCCCTCTCCTTGTGTAACATGGACACTTTCTATTGGCTGTCCAGTGGTTGGGTCCTCTCAGGATTTTTGAACATAATGTGGTTGTCTGCAGTAACTTTTGAAACAGTAATTATTCATGAGACTGTGTTGTTTTTTTTACCACTAACATCACTTATTATTTCTTACCCCATTGCAAATAAAATAGCAATGATATTCCTTTGGCTGCTGATTTTATTCTTTAAATAGGGGTTGGATGTATTGCTAGGTTTTTTTTTTGGAATGCTAATTTCATTGCATCTAATAGGCAGGCCATGTGTATTATATAAAATGGTATGTGTATAGATACATCTTATTATCCAATTGGTTAGTACCCTTATTTATACTCCATGAGCCGTAATATTACTCTGAAACATGAGATATGGTTATACTCCTGACAAAAACATAGGGCATCAAGAAGCACCCTGATGGGCATAAGAGCTAAGGGCAGCAGTGGGGTGAAACTCCAGCCAAAACCTACTTTACATTTGGATAGACTAGCCAAGCGCAATAATTTTTATTTTTAATTGTTCATTGTTGTCTCTAACCCTACTGGGGAGATTTCTTGCCACATTGGCAAGATGTGAGGTGAAATCTCTCCAACAGGGATATTAACAGGGAAATAAACATTAGATAATAATAATGATAATAACAACAACAACAACAACAACAATAATCATCATTATCATTTAGTATGAAAGGCTTAGAATCTACGTATGTGTCCATTTTGTTTTTGCCAGGACTTGTAGTACTTATACATTATTGCATCATTTGCTAATTATGAGTGTAGCAGGGTAGCAAAATGAGAAAGAGTTATAATGGTACTTTTAGAATTTTTTGCAGCAGTACCTTTAGCTCACATGTTTGACAAGGTGAAAATAGAACAAATGTCTTGCCAGAAAGGCAAAGCATCGTAGCTGGCCATCTGGCCGCAAACAGACATATATGTCTGTGTACACATCCTTCCCAAACTGGTTTTATGAATGTGAGAAAATGCTCCAAACCTTGTAACAAAGTGAGTTCGTTAAAAGTGTGCAAATAGCAATCAGGATGCAGATCTCTCTAAAGCAAAAGTAGGAACAAATGCTGCAACGGATTGAAGAAACATGCTGATCAGGGTGCCATACAGCCATACATACGTTCACGAGATAAATACTATTTTTTTATTGGAAATGTACAAGGAAAGCTTCCAGCACAGAACAGATCCCAATATTCATATAGTTTAGAGCGTGGGAGCATTACCATCCTTTGTGAAATATAATGATATGATGTCACTGTGCAGATAACAGGTGGACTGTTATATACTTTTCACCATATTTTAGTGCATCTGAGTATTGTCTACCATCCTGAAATATAATATTATATTTGTTTCTATTAACTTAATATTTTGTTAGCTGCAGCTCATTTCTCAGGGCTGGGCTTCCTGATGATGACAATGGCAGAACATGCCTGCGCATTGAGCATTGGCATGGTTACTAATAGTTTCTACCAGAAGCACATATGACAGGATGATAGTGGGTGAGGGGGTGACAATGCATAAGTGTAATAGGGAGACGGGTACAGAGCATTGTCAGCATACAACAGAAAATGCCTGAACAAGGAACTTTAGGTTTTATGTTAATGAAAGCTGCCAATTTAAAAAAGATAAAAAATGACTTTTGAATTTACATCAACACTTTAAATGTTATATGAGATTTTAGCAATTAGGTTCAAATCTACTGTAAGCATAAGTGTTGTTTTGTGCATGACATCACTTTAAAAGCGGTTATCCCTTGTAAATATGTGTATGTGTAAGTAGTTTACAAAATGCAGAAGAAAAGTTACTTTAACCACTTGTTGACCGATTCCTTGATATTTGCACACACATGATACAATCTGATTTTTTGGCTAGAAAACAGCTTCAGACTCCCAAACAATGATTTTTTTCTGAAAGCAGAGGCTAGTTGCAATTTTTTATGTTGCATGGTATTTGCGTAAATGTTTATCAAATCAGTATTTTTAGGATAAAATTAAATTTAGTGCAAAGAAACAAAATATAATACCCACATTTTTGGTAAAATATAAAAGATGGGGTCCCGTCGGGTAAATCGATGCCAAACATGTTAAGCCTTAAAATTGTGTGCGTCTGTGAAACCACAAAAAACTACAATACCCAAAATTTCCCATAGGCGATGCTTTAACAACTTTTACTGTTCATCAGCTTAGTGTTAACAGTGATTGATGGGGCTAGAATTATTGCTCTCACTCCAATGTTCACAACGATATTTAACATGTGTGATGCAATTTTCGTTTTGGCACATAGGCGCACCAGACGCATGTTTTCGTTGTATGTGCATGCCCGTGGGAGGGGGGGGACTTTATTTCTTTTTATATGTTACTTTCTTTTTAATAGTTTTTTTTACAGGTCACCTTTAGGGAGACAGCAGGGGTCTGTCACACCCTAATGTCACCGAGGGACCCCAAAGAAGCTGAGGAAGTAGAGATCTGCTTCCCCAGCTTCTTCTCCTGGCTTCTTCTGGCTCTAATGTATAAGTGACACTGGAAGTGATGTAATACACACCACTTCCGGGTCCAGTGATCTGAGCAGAGATGAGTGGCTGGAAGCCTGCTGATCTCTCTCAGATCAGTCAGGGGAGACCTGCCATGCCTGTCCTAGGTCCGCACGGGGGATAGCGGTGCCTGGCAAGCCGGTGACGGCTGAGGGAGGGGCACATGGTGCCACACCGTACAAGCAATCCGATGGATGTACAGCCATAAGATTGCTTGTATTTAAACAGCAATCACCTGCTGTTTAAAATGATGCCAAGAACATGGCTGCAGTAGCAGCCATGTTCTTGGTATAACCCTCTTCTTCAGGACAGAACTTTTTTTTATAGGGGTGGTGGTCCTGAAGCGGTTAAAGTAGACTTCTACCTATAGATATAGGGATTCTGTCATTGGTGTTATTTGACTGGCTGTCTCTGGCTTAAATACATTTTGAATTATTAATCTAGAATAAGCGAGCAGCTAGCAAAGTCAGATAAAAAGCCAACACTTCTGGCCTACATATTTGTACTGAGTCAATGATTCAGAAACCGTTAGATCAGCATAACAGCCAGGCAACTAGCATTTGCAAAAGCAGTTAAGCGGTGGCAGCCAGCTTATTTTCTCAGTGCATGTATAGCCCAAACATTTTTTAGTTTTAAACCCATGTTAGGGTAAAACCCCTGCCAGTTGTTTTGCTGTCTGTGTGCCATTGGGGAAATTTCTCTTCACTCCCTGTTCCAGAAATGCAACAGGAAGTTAGAGGAAATCTTCCAAAGTGAAGCGAATTTCAATCTTAGTTGTCTCTGCAAGAAGTGTCCCCATTAGAAGATTAGCCTTATTAGCCCTCCTATTCTGGAAACAACTCTAACATTTGGGATTTTCCCTCATTTTCTTGTTGATAAAGGTCACCAGCATGACTAGAAAGGGTAAATCTCCTTATTGGGGATATAAACATTAATATAAACATGACAAAAAATCCTAGTCATGTATTTAGCTAATTCGACACAACAAATGCATGTCAGATGTACAGGAAAAAGCAACAGGTTCACTTTATTGTCAGCCCCCACAGTTACTGCTACTTCTTTTCCCTTCCCTTTCAGTAAGAAATAGAAACCCTGTGTAAGCACCAAGTCACAACAAGAAGCTTACAAATAGCTCTAATCTCTCCCAACCCCCATGTGACTGCAATAACTACCACTCGCTAAGCACCAGTGTTTTCCTATGAAAAGAAAATGAGTGATTCACATGGTTCCCTATACCTAGAAACCCAATTGCTTTGCTTCACTTTGTAAGAAGAGGAGGTCCACACTTAAAAATAGTTTATTTTCCTCCCTCTTCAGCCTGTCCCCAAACCGCTGCCCCCCCCCCTCCCCACAATGACACATGGACAACTTTTAGCTAGCCTGCTGCTGAGGCGACACCCATGCATGCACATTTCTGGCTGGAGCCTGTGCCTAGTTGTGTGCCTCTATAAACACTCACACTGCCTGACAAGCCCCTGCTCCTCCTCCTATGTATTTTAGAATTTAAAGAAAAACCTCCATGGAAAAGCATGACAATCAAGATAAAATGTTGACTCAAGGATTGAAAAGGTCCTATCCGTCATTTTCTCAATGGCCCAATGCTTACACTATTTATAAACAGCTACTGCAATTCTGTTTTACCATTTAGTGCTCACCAACTTTGACTTGACAAATCCATTGATTTCCAATGTCAACCTCAGCCATCAAATGCAACTTATTATATAGTATTTGGCATAATACTTATGCAAGCATTTTATATTATTTAAGGATCTGGTTTATAATGTGATCACAGCATATCACTTCCACTAGATGGAGCCAAGCAGCATAGGAAAATCCTGAAAATCCTATACACATCAACTACATCTAGTGACAGTAATGTGCTGTGAATGTCGCTCTCACAGTTATACGCTGTGCAAATGCATTATAAATCAGCCCCTAAGTGTTTACCATTTTCTATTTACTGTTTACTTCACATAGTTTTCTTTTTCTTTTCTTTCATATAATTTGCACTGGTTTTAAGAGAAATTCATAGTGATGTATGCACATTTTATATATGTTTTGCTGTGTAATGTTAGATTATTTCATTGGATCAAACAATTTTTGTTGTACTTTTCTCTTAAATAAAAGTTAAACTACAAAAAAATTGTCTGCTTTCTGTTTTCTTATACCTCCAATTTTATTTTGTAGAACCTCACATCGAATGATTTCAGTTTTGATAGCAATGGCTTTTTAGCCATAATTGATGGTCTTGCAAGGTTCAGTCACTACCAGTTCTGGATAACTGCAAGCACTGTATTTGGAGATGGAAACCAAGCTAGTGAGACAATTGATGTTAACACAGAGCAAGATGGTAGGTTACCAACAAAATCCCCCTCTGGCTTATAGTTGTGCAAAAAATTTACTTGTGTGTATTTTTAATCTTATGGGTCCAAATACAATGAACGGCACTGCCATTTTTCTATGTTTTAGAAACAGCCTTACATTTTCCTGTATTTAGAGCATGGATCCTAAAAATCTTTCTTATCGACAGCAATAGTTTGAGACCCCCCCCACTCCGCAACGCACACAATGAAGGAGAACAGTGGAGATGGTTGTTCTTGCTCCTTTGCACACTGTCTCTAAAGTACTTCCTTATCATTTTAACATTTTCAGTTTCCTATATTTTAGAAGAATGCTGATGTTTGGCCTTCTAGAAGTAATTGGGCCTTTTTTTCTGGCAATATCTATTAGATTGGGGTGTGACATGAGATTTTAAAGCATAGAAGTAAAAATAATTCCTGTACTTATTTATATCTGTGGTCCTGTGTGACTAGTTATGAATCACAGCAGAGCTTAGTCATATAAGGTTTTATGGGCCAAAGCCTTTAGATTTACTTTATTTAATATGATATGTCTTTTCTAGTCCCTGAAACACCACCTATGATCAGAGAATGCAAGAATCTAACATCTACTTCAGTCTTGTTATCGTGGAATCCTCCAGTACGTCCAAACGGTATTATAACTGGTTACTACTTACAGATTTATGGACCACAGGGAAACAAGTCTTTTCCTGATACTATGCAAGATTCCATCATTCTAAAGGATCTTGATCCATTTACCCAGTATTTTATCTTTGTTGCTGCAAGAACAATAAAAGGAACGGGTCCTTCTATCCAGCTTCCATTTCTCACAGACGAAGCAGGTAATAGTCCTACGACATATTTGTGTTAAATTAAAATCATCAGAAAAGTGATCCTTCATAATCCTGTACATGTTTCTAGTTTCACTGTCTTTGTCTTCTTTCTCATGTTTCTTCTTGAATTATTACATTTCTCTAGCAAGGTCAGAGCTGTGCATGATATGTTCTTCTCTGGTGCTTAAATTTCATTGCTTTGACAGGTTTAGCTATGCTACAAAAATTATACTTACACTGGTGGCATTTCATTATTTTATCCTCTGCCACTTGACAGAAAGTCTCAATGAGAGCAGAGTAGTTCAAGGTTTTGCCATAAAGATTATTTAATTATGCCTTAATTATGCCCTACTGTTCATTGGGATTTTATCCTAAATGCATCTACAATCTTTTTGCCTTGCTGATCTAATGAAATATTTATCTGAATATTTTATTTTTATTTTTATTATAGGGCCACTTCATGCTTTAATTGTTATTGTTACTGTTTTTTTTCTTTATACCAAATTAGATTGCTTATATGCATATTACATACCTTACATAACTTTAAATTGCATTACATACAGTATAGTCTACTTTTCCTGTACAAGGGGAAAATTTGGTGCTCATGTCTTTGAACTCATAATGTAAATTCCTGTCAAAAATTCCTGTTAAAAAAATAATTTATTTATTTATTATTTAAAGCTGAATCCTGAAACCCCCCCTGCACACACGCACTATGTATATTAAGAGTATAGTGCTTGTTTAGTGTCGGATGCATGTAATAGAACACATTACTTACCTTATACCTTACCTTGCAGTCTCTCCACTGTAAGGTATGGTACTGAAAGGTACAGTCTCCCCACTCTTTTAGGATGAAGCCATTCCTCCCCCCCTATTGTGTAGCCTTTTTTCCTTGCTGGCATAATCACGCACAAGCAATTACTACTGGTCACATCTGGTCCTGCACTGTACAGGATGATGTTGAGGGAAGTACAGCTCGGGATACACATCCAGCTTGTTGATGGGACATTGATGAGGCATTACTCTGAGCGCTCCTCTTTTTAGGATGTTCCATTGTTAAACTTACAGCACATACTACTGCACTAGGGCCAAATTGGTTTCTAGTGTTTGTATCCATTTTCTGTCTGTGTTTTGTTGATCAGAAATCACATGGAGCTCACATAATGACAAAATCAGGTACTTATGCCAGTTGCATTTAGAAATGCATTTAATAATATTATATTGTAAACATAAGTACGTTATTATAATGTAAATATAAGTGCAATCACTGTTGTTTTTAATACCTACCTGAAATTCTGCTTTAAAAAATATCTTAAAAAATATGTTAATAAAATATTTCAAAAAGCACTGCAAACACTGCACCCTTTGCATTGCAGAGCCTTCAGTATCTCCTTACAATTTGACTTTCATCAATGCAAGTGACAGTTCAGCTTGGCTGCAATGGAGGCCTAGTCCAAGACCTAATGGTATTGTGCAAATGTACAGCTTTAAAATTGTGGAAAACAGCAGTCAGTCTATATTCTTTCAGGTAAATATATCAATAACTTGGAAAAAAAAACATTTATTATAAATGACTTCAAATATATGTAAAGCCAACATGTTTTTCTTGAAATTTAGATGAAGTGAAGAAGGGTTAGACCCTATGTCAACTTTTTTTTGCCATCTGCTAGTAGATTTATTCTTCTATTTGTCATGATGACCTTTGTCACCGAGACAATGGGAAAATCCAAAATGTTAGAGTCATGACCAATGCAAGAAGTGAGAGGAAATAATCCAATAGGGACAAATGTTCTGGTGACAACTGTTTAAGATGAGAATTTACCTCCCCTTTTTCTTATTTCTTTTTACATATTAGAGCATTGTTGGTTGTTTTAATGGCAGAGCCATAAGCTTGCTTGTAATACTGTTAAAACAAAGTCTGTTTATTTATTTACATTAAAAAGGCATAAAATGTGTATGTCTGTAGCATGAAAGAACCTCCCATATACCTATACATACTGTAACATGTTTCAGTAAATACACATATCTTAATTGATTTAAAGTGTCCAACATAGATGCTCATGCATGCTTGTAAACTTGACAGTACTGTAATGTTGAGCAATCTTCAACGTCTTCAGGACAGAGGATATTCTACAATATTTAGAAGGACAATATTATAAACTATATGCACAAATATACACTGAGTGGCCAGATTATTATGACCACCTGATGTTTGTAGGCAAATTAGCTATAATTAGCTATAATTTCGCACTGAAGTTGCTGGAGGGCCAGACCATTATAAATAGGGAAGCAGGTTGTTTACCACGACAGTAGAAGTGATTTTTTTTCCTGAAGATATGGGTAAACAACGCGATTTAACAGCCTTTGAACGTGGGATGATTGTTGGCGCTCTGAGCCATGGAGCGAGTATCAGCAAAACAGCAAAATTCGTTAAATGTTCAAGAGCAGCTGTTGTTAAAGTGTTTAAAGACTGGACTGTCAGCCAAAAATCTGGGTCTGAATGTGCGAATTGTGGCCGTCAGCGACTAGTCAATGTTAGGGCAGAATGGAGAGTGGCAAGACTGGTACAAGACAACAGAAGGGCAACAGTGCATCAAATTACTGCAGATCTTAATCAGGGATCCTCTCAAATGATCTCTGAACGAACTGTTCGCCGTACACTGCATCGTATGGGATATGGAAGCCGAAGGCCTGTTCAAACACCTTTGCTGTCTGCAGTTAACAAGATAAAACGTCTCCAATTCGCACAGGAACACAAGGATTGGACAGTCGAGCATTGGAAAAAAGTAATGGGGTCTGGTGAATCACGTTCCCAGTTGCATCATGCAGATGGCAGAGTTAGAATTTGTCGGGAACAACATGAAAGCATGCACCCCACATCCATGAGTACAACCCTTCAAGCTGGTGGGGGCAGTGTTATGGTTTGGGGCATGTTTTCCTGGCATGATTTGGGCCCTTTCATTTGTGTGTAACAACGTCTGAATTGCACAACATACCAAAGTATCAGTGCTGATCAAGTTCATCCTATCATGTTGATGGCGTATCCCAATGGAGATGGCTTCTTCCAACAAGACAATGCGCCATGCCACAGTGCTCGTATTGTGCAGGAGTGGTTTCAAGAACATGAGGGGGACTTTACCTTGCTTAGATGGCCCCCACAATCACCAGATCTCAATCCAATTGAGCATTGGTGGGACGAAGTTGAAAGAGCCATCAGGCAGCTGTTTCCACAACCATCAAATCTCACAGAACTGGACAGTGCTATTCATCAGGCATGGTGTCAGATTCCTCGCATCACCTTTCAACATCTCGTGGAGTCAATGCCAAGAAGAATCGCCGCAGTATTGAAGGCAAAAGGTGGCCCAACGAAGTACTGATGGGGTGGTCATAATAATCTGGCCACTCAGTGTACATAGCTGCATCAGAATAATGCCATATTCAATGGCAGATAATTGGTCTGGTGTTTTAGTTTCTCTGGTGGTTCAAAAATATTGTATACACAATGACAGATGATCACTATGCTTACATGATCCAACACAGCTAAAACCAGATATGGGAAACAGCCACACACAAAGGTCTCTTGTGAGCTGCAAAAGGGGTCAAATCTGCAGAAAATGGCACCTGGTAGATATACTGTAGATCTACCAAAGAAACAAATTAATCAATCCAATATAAACTGAAACTTGGCTTTACTATTAAAACCCCATGCAGTTTTATACTGACATAGCCGTTATCCATACATGTCATAGAATGTATTAAGCATATGCCAATCTGTTACGATGGTTTTACATGTATATCTGGCTGTAAATGTTTGAAAAATTTAAATAAATATCACATGCAAAAAAAAAAAACCCCATCCCCAACCGACAATTCTCTATATATCCAGGGGTGTGGCATTATAAGCTGAGTATGCCTGCCAATAGCAAATCAATATCTCCTTTTATATCTAAGAAACAAAGTGAAATCTTCCCAGCTGGATCCTGGGTTTTACCAGGGGTTTTAACCAGCAAAAATAACTAGATAGGGATTTGAACCCTTTCCCGTTCAAACTTAACAAAAGTTTTGGCTCTACGCAGACTTAAATTACAATGTTTTGGCTAGGTGGTATTCCAAGTGGTCTCACAATAAAGCACATTTACACTGGCACATAGTTAACCAGAAATACGCTAAATATTAAGCGCACTGTAATATTTCTGCAACCAACATAAAAAGTGTGTTGCTTCCTTTTTGTTAAGTGTAATCCATTTCCATAACACATAAATATCAAATCTAGTAGTATACCACTAACATTGTAGTAGCATTTACAATACAATATGACATCCCTACAATTGCACAAATTATATACAGTCATATAAAAAAGGAGTCTTGCAGTAATGGTTTTAAGATTTATCTTCCATGCCTGGAATATCATAGTCCCAGGGCTATTCTTTGACATCATGCTGCACTACACACACATAAATTATATCATTCTACTGTACAAGCTCTGCTCTTTAGTCATATGGTTTTGCTTTTAGTAAAAACTACTGCTAGAATGCACTATTGGAGAAAATACACTGGCTGCTTTTTGTGCAGCTTCCTTTCAGCTATGCAGATTATCAAACAAGAAAAAGGAAAGATTAAGTTTGCTGCACAATGAAGAGCCTTCTTAGTCCTCTCAACATCCCTGTACACACCTTAAGTTCTCTTGGTGCCACCCTTGTAACCCTGCTGCCCTGGCGAATAACCCACAAGTGCTATTAGGGTAAATATGGGTTAGGTAGTCCACATATTAACAAGGCTGTTTTTTTGTCTGCCAGAATATATCAGGTGCTCAAACAGAAGGAAAGCTAACCAATTTGGACCCATTTAAGGCCTATCAAGCAAGTGTATCTGCTTTTACGAAAGCAGGCAATGGAAATCAATTCAGCAATACTATTCAGTTCACAACACAAGAGTCAGGTATGTACCAGTCTATATACACATATTGAGATATAGCATTGTCCAGACATGGATTTTTGACTATGTATCTGACTTTGTTATATAATATCATATGGTTCATAAGTTATTGCATGCATGTTAACATTTTTTACATTAGCCCATTTGCACTGATGTTTAAACTCCCTTACAAATGTGATCCAATATGTTTCTACGTGAATCTAAAATCTGTATATTTCTTAACAGCCCCAGACTTTGTCCAGAACATACGTTGTGTGGCAACAAGTTGGCAGTCCATCTTAGTTCAGTGGGATCCACCAGTTCGCCCTAATGGAAAAATAACTCAGTACGTCCTAATGTTTCAAAATCTTGCTACCTTTGTCTCCGATACTGATAATGCCTACACCTTCAGGGATCTACTCTCCAATACCACATATAACTTCTCTATTCAAGCTGCAAATTCTGCTGGCGAAGGAAAGGAGGACATATGCAATGCAACAACAAAGTCTGAAGAAGGTACTTCATGTCAAAATGAGAGATTATTTCTATATATTCTTCCAGTGTACTGTATATATTGTCTGTACCCACAATCCACATGCAAAATTGGAGCTGTTTGTTTTAATGAGAAGTCTCTACATGCCTACTTGCTCTGCCTGTTAGTGACTGAAAGAACTGGGGCAGGATGACCAGGGAGCTATGATCTTTGGGATGAGAGGTCAGCAATACCAGCCCTATGTTTATGCCATGAGGAATTTACTTTAAAGGTGATCATAACTTCTGGTTTGCTACTGAGTAAAAAATAGGACATTGCCTACTATGTTCTTGTTTCCCTAGAAAGTCTGTTATGTTGGTGTTGCACTATAGGCGTTATTCCTGTTGGTTGGAGAATCACATACTCTGTCAAATACTGTATTCACTACAGTTGAAAATATTAGTATCCAGACACACACTAAAACTAGCAGGTTTATTCAAATGATCTTTGATTAGGTATCTGACTTTGTCATATAATAGCATATCGTTAAAAAGTTATTGCTTGCATGTTTTCATTCTTTTTACATTAGCACATACTGTAGAACGTTAGACATTGTGTCAGTAAAGGAGGTGAATTTTTCTCCAAGATGGGAAATTCAGCATTTAAAACACTTTTGAGTAAAGTTTAGCGCAATTAAAACCGTTATGGGTTTTTATTGTTGTCCTTGATCCCACAAGATTTCCCTGACTTCCTATTCTAGTGACTGTACAGTAGACACAAGCAGAGCCTCAGACATCAATAAGAACCTAAGAGGTTCTTACCCTTCTCTACTGTATACAAAGCTTATGTTTTGGGCTGGAGTTACACATTGGGGGTGATTTACTAACCTAAACACACACACACACCAGGTGTGTGTGATTTTCACACAGCAAAACGTATTTATCAACCAAAAAGTCTCTAAAAGCATATTTCCACTAATGCCATATATGGAAAAATCATGCACATGATGCATATATAATGCTGCTTCACAGTTTAGACAAAAATGGTTAGCTCATGCATTTACATTCCTTGCATTCATCAACGCAAGCAACAAAACATAGAGCTAATTTACCCAACATCACCTTGGAGTTCCTTCAGGACTTTGCACAACACACCTGCTGGGTGTGTACACATTACAAAGGTGTTTAGATTCCACCCATAGATCATGCTGGGAGGGAACACACTGCAGAGGTGTATACACGTTCGTGGTGTGTTTATAAGGTTAGTAAATCAACCCCATTGACTCTATTATAAACAGCAAGAAATCACACTACATCATCAAAGTGATAATAAAATGTGAGCTCTTTGCACAGCAAGAAAGGCAAAAGCTACAACTCACACATTATTCCTTGGGCTTTCAAAGCTATACAGCAGACCTAGACCCTTTTACTATTACTTTTACATGAATCAAATCAGGGCCTTTGTGTTATGCACTAGAGACTTTTACATTGGATCAGTATATAATCTCAAGAGTTACACTGCCCAGTGGTTTAGTTCTACAATAGCAATAATGATATACTGTAGTGCCACCAAAACAGTAGACAACTAGACCCATTTATGTTGTTATGCATCTGCAAAAACATATTGTACCTATAGCTATTAGCACAACTACAATATCAGTTAAGGTTTAGATTATTTTGAATTGGAAATAATTTTATAGCTGCTGTCAGCTTTTTTTTTTATTAATGGTGTTCTGGCATTAGTCATGGTTACAGAGCCAGCACTGAGTCATTGACAGTACATTTATTTTTGACACAAGGTGAAATCAGATTAGCTTCACTGTCTCACAACAGAGTGTCTGGCTAATGTTACTTGTACTTTTTATTTAATAAAGCCAGCTATGGCACTAAAATACCCTTGAAAACTAGTATTAAATGACATGTGTTTTATCAGAGGCAATCAAATAATAGCAAGTATTTGTAGCGTTTGTAAAGTTTCATGCAGAATGAGTATGTTGTACATATATACTCTAAAGCCAGCAAAATAGAAACCTATTTTCATTACTGCAGTGAGGTGTTGTGATGCATTGACTCATTATTGCTAAATCACCACTTGTACACTTACAGATGTGGCTTAGATATAGCTGGGGGGCTTTATGGGTAAGTGTGTAAGTGACAAACAGTAATAAATGTAAACAAATAAGTAAAAAGTAGCCCTGAGAGTTTATTTAAGTGCACCTAGACCTAATTTTTATCTGATGTGAACTGTTTCTCTCTCTCCTAGCTCTATTTTTTCTGACAGAAAATAAATAGGGCATATGATATTAATATGAACACACCTGGGCCATCATCGCTTGCTTTTTTCCTGTACTACCTAGTTATAGTTGCATCATTATTGAACTAAAACAAAATGAAACTCGATTATGATTGTAACAATTGTGGACAACACTCACATCCCAGTGTGGATTGAGCATGCAGGGGTATATGACATTCCAACTTTCTAGGGAGGAAAACCAAGGGTAGAATTTTAGTGGCTAAATTTTACAAAATGTGGGTACTAGTCAATACCGTTTGCCACTTGACAGGCTACTTGACAAAGAAAAGGCATCTTTGCAACAGTGTGCAAATTAACTGTCGAACATGTGCTGTAATACAAATCCGAAAGTGGAGAAGTTACATAATAACTTTAGAGGCATTGTTGGGTGACCTTTAAATTATAGCTGCCTTATGCTTGGGATTATTAAGTGAATAGGGAAGCAATGGTCAAACTAGTCTGCAATTTGCAACCAGCTTCCAGTCTGGTAACGTGCACAGGAGCACAACTGTGTATATTAAAGAACATCTGTGTTCAGAATGCAAGTGTCTTCCCAGTCGTTGGCTTTGTTGGCATATAACATGCTGATAATACAAGCCAAAAGGAATTACATTTCTAAAGACTAATCATACTGTACATTAGTCAATAAAAGCAAACAATGTGATCAAACAGACTTGCAAAAGTTGGCTCTGTAGAGGTGCACTAATGTGCACTTCTGATCTGTGGGAAACAAAATGTTCTCACAAAGGGGAAAATCACTTTTATGTTCTCTGCCCCACAATCATTACAGGCTTGGGATAAGAATCATGGCAGGCCTTCATTCATTTCATTTGAGGCCGGTATGATGTTTCAACAGTTTGCGTTCACAGTTATAGTCATGCACACCAGCAAGTATACTTTACAATTTATACATTGTCACTATGTTACCCTGAGAATCGGACCCTGTAAGTCCCTAAAACATTGATATTTGAAACATGTTTACAGAATACTTTTTTGAAGCATACATCTAGCAGAGCTGTAACATTTGCATGACTATTGGACAATGCATGATAATGCGATCTGGTTAGCTATTTGAAGCACCGACATATTCATTTGCTGGTCGTTCATTTTATGAAGAGCAGTCAAATTACAACTGAATCTGTCTGCTTGTGATAACTTGTGGTACCAAGCAGTATCAATGTAACTTAAATTTGTTAATGTAAAGTGAACTGATATTTACATATATTGGTAGGAGTGCACCGAAATTAAGTTTTTAAAACTGAAAAAAAAATGTCAGACCGAAACCGAAATTAAAAAAATTAATATTTTATTTTTATTTATTTTTTTATAAACGTTTTAATTTAAATTGTTTATTTTTTATTAAATATTTGTATTTTTTTACTTTACCGATGGGGGCTTCAGGGAAATGTTAGGGGTCTAAACAGATCCCTGATATTTCCCTTTTAAAATAGAAAAAGAGATTGAGGACACAGAGTCCTCAATCTGTTTTTCTGCATCCCCTGTTATAAATGAACAGGAATCCTCTGTACTGAGTGTTCCTGTTCATTCATAACTTATGGAGATAGTATGTTTACCATGTCCACAATCATGAATGAACAGGAAGTGATGTAGATGTCCTCAATTATTTACAAGCAGTCAGCAATCACTGATCACTGACTGCCTTGTACCTGCTCTTCATCCTGACTTGCTGTCACAGGAGGCTGAGCGAGCAGTGCGGGGAGGAGAGCTCGGTCTCCTGGGACAGCTGACTCCTCCCCCGCACTGCCGGCCTGGCCTCTTGTGACAGCTGTCTCCACCCCCACACCACTCTCCTGATCTGTCACAGAAGGCTGAGCAGGACTGTGCGGGAGGAGAGCCCGACCTCTTGTGACATGCCGGCCGCTCACCTCGTTCTCCTGCCCCGCACCACTCGGCCTCCTGTGACAGTTTCTCTCCTCCCTGCTGGACACTGCGCTGTGTCAGAAGTGACACAGAGCAGCGCCAGGCAGGGAGGAGAGAAACCAGGCATGAACTGCAATTTGTAACGAGTCCGGGAATCGCGAGCCGCTTGCTTCCCAGCCTGGAACGCATCGGCCGCATAATACTGCGTGCTCCACTTCCGGTGGCGGCCCTCCTATGCATTCCAGGGTGGAACGCGGAAGTGTCAGCATGCTGCATAGCGCCACTTCCGCGTCCACGGACTATTTAAGGAGCTCCAGAACAAAGGTAGGGTGTTCCATTATTATTATGCCCCAACAACCCAGGAGCCTCACCCTCTCAGCTACCAGACAGCCTCAACCACCCAGGAGCCACACTGCCCAGGACACTCCACCAACCTAGAGAAGACTCAGGGAGCCTTACTACTAAGAGCAAGTACAAGTGTTGTGGGGGATTCCTATCTTGTCCATTGACACTTTGGGGTTGATTTACTAACCTTATAAACACACCACGAACATGTATACACCTCTGTAGTGTGTTCCCTCCCAGCATGATCTATGGGTGGAATCTAAACAACTTTGTAGTGTGTACACACCCAGCAGGTGTGTTGTGCAAAGCCCTGCATGAATTTGCAAGGTGATGTTGTGTAAATTAGCTCTATGTTGTGTTGCTTGCGTTGATGAATGCAGGAATGTAAATGCATGAGCTAACCATTTTTGTCTAAACTGTGAAGCAGCATTATATATGCATCATGTGCATGATTTTTCCATATATGGCATTAGTGGAAATATGCTTTTAGAGACTTTTTGGTTGATAAATATGTTTTGCTGTGTAA